AATCATCATCATTATAGCTGTAGATACTTAGGGACGGGTCTCCTCCTGCCTCCGCAACCAACCTAGCAATTGGTTGCTGCCACCCCTTCATAGAGCTCCTTTAGCGGTTCAGACTAAAACCCAAAGTGGGTGGTCAATCCCCAGTAACACACTTTTGCCCTTGAGTTTATAATAGACTCGGTCTTCTCTAAACCCATGACTCCAAATGTCAGCGGTGCTCTGCCTTCTGGTTATCTAACTAGATTTTGAAAGATCTTAACAGCGGATGAAAATAACTCGTCTGGCTGCTGTGTCCCCGGTGAGTCTTGCTTTTGCTGCCACTGCAAGTTTACTCTCATTCATTTTGAGTCTGGATTTAGGACCACACTTGAGACATCTTAGCCTATACATTGCATCCATAGAACCGTTGATTTTATATGTTTTATGATGACGCCTTTGTAACTGTGCTGTGACCCACTTCAAGTCATGAGGAGAGGAGGGTAAGAAATATAATAATAATAGTTTAGCTCCTAGTCTCTGAAAGTTCCAATAATGCACTAATTTGTGCTCAGAGCCAACCCAAAATAGTTAGTGACCTGAAGGAGAGAAATAAATAGAGAGATACCAATAAACATAGATATACATAGAGATAGATATATAAATAGATATCAAATACAATTATATATCATGGGGGAGTGCCCGGTCATGCAGTGGGTTAAACCACTGAGCTGCTGAGTTTGTTGACCAAAAGGTCACAGGTTTGAATCCGGGGAGCGTCATGAGCTTCCACTGTCAGCCCCAGCTTCTGCCAACCTAGCAGTTCAAAAACATGCAAATGTGAGTAGATGAATAGGTACCGCTCTGGCAGGAAAGTAACGGCGCTCCATGCAGTCATGCTGGCCACATGACCTTGGAGGTGTCTATGGCTTAGAAATGGAGATGAGCACCAACCCCCAGAATCAGACACGACTGGACTTAATGTCAGGGGACAGCCTTTTACAATATCAGGGGATAAATTGGGATATACATCTAACTACGAATGCAATTAATTCTGTTAATTGGGTTTATAATGAGGGATACCTTATTGTAAACCCCAGCCATATCTATGAATAATAAACAAACAAATAAACAACGAGCCCCTTACCAAGATGGCAATTATGCCTTTGTGTTTGTCTTCCACCAAATTGCACGTGACTTTGTTGCTGTAATAAGGGACTGGATACACAAACACACACAAATATAAAGTGAGAGTCTTAGAATTTAAAGGGGCCCCTAAAAGCCATCTAGACCAGTGTTTCTAAACCTCACTAATATTTATTTATTTATTTGCAGCATTTATATACTGCTTTTCTCACCCCGAGGGGGACTCAAAGCGGTTCCTCATGTTGTGGTGACCCACAACCATAAAATTATTTTTGTTGCTACTTCATCTCTGTAATTCTGCTACTTTTATGAATCATCATGTAAATATACAATACGCAGGATGTATTTTCATTCATTGGACCAAATTTGGCACAAATACCCAATACAGCCAAATTTGAATACTGCTGGGGACGGGAGGGATTGATTTTGTCATTCATGAGTTGTAGTTGCTGGGATTTATAGGTCACCTATAATCAAAGAGCATTCTGAACCACACCAATGATTGAATTGGGCTAGATTTCCCACTCAGAACCCCCATGACCAACAGAACATACTGTGTTTTCTGATAGTCTTTGGCGACCCCTCTGACACCTCCTCGTGACCCCCCCAGTGGTCCCGACCCCCAGGTTGAGAAACACTGACGTAAGGCATGTATGGATATCTATCTATAGGTCCAATGGGCCGGAGGGCACTTGTTTGGCCAAAGAGGAAGAGAGGCTATGATAGAATGCGATGGGATGCAATGCCTCATGCATAGTTTGGGTTCTTCTTCCTCTTTTGAAATGTCAAGCTCCACTTTTTTGTGAGTTGCATGAATGCAGATGCTGTGTGTGTGTTCTTTTTTCAAGTGCATTTGTGGCTCCAGGGTCTTGCAGGCGAAAGGAAGCAGCCGGCTTTTGGGGAGGCCATTTGGCTTTAGTTGTATGCTAGGAAAAGGGAGTGAGTGCGCAGCTTGGGAAATTCAGAGGCAGGGGCTGAATGAGCAAATTCCCCAGATGCAAAAAGGAGAAGGAGGAGGGCACCCTTTTGTGTTTCTTCATGGAGGCAGAGGAGAGCTCATGTCATGTTTACCAGCAGAAAAGAATGTGTGTTTGTGCAATGCCTGAAAGCCCTGACATTCGGGGAAATCCTGCCCTGGTGATACCAAACTGAAAAGAAGCCAAGTCCATTAATGGTTTCAATTAGCACAATTAATCAGCTCATTAACGATAGATGCAAGTGTGATCTTCCCTCTGAGCTCAGCCTTGCGAGAAGGAGGAGGAGAGGGTGTTTGGCACATTTGCAGAACGAAGTGGCCGTAACGTTTAATTCATGCATATTTTCAGTGGCAGAATGCGACTCCACGAAACGGGCCTTGGTTTCAGAGAGGGTGACATGTCCTTTGTGAACGTGGTAGCTGTGATGGCGGCATTCAAGGGAAGGTCCAGGGTTACAATTCTCCCTCCGAGCAAGAGGGTTCAGAGGTGGCCTCATGCGCAGCTGTGGATGCCTTTGTGCCACTAAGTGCTGCCATTAGTAGCCACAGCTTTCAGACAAAAGCAGTCTCCTTTCTATCCAGGATGATCTTGCATCCTTTTGCCTTCCTTCCTTCCCTCTGGCAAAGAAGGGCTGAGTGTTCCTCAGAGAGCTGAGAATGAAACTGACTATTTCTATGTCTGGCTGTGCTTTTGTGAGCACCTCGTGACCCATCCTGCTAAACACAGATGGCCTTATTAAGTTGGAGGCTTGCTGGAGTTTCCCCGGTCCTATTTGCATCATCAGCACTCACCTTGTAGATGGTGGGCTTGGGGCAAAGAGTTCCTACTGATAAGAACTAGCCAATAGTTCTCAACTTGTGGGTCCCCAGATGTTTTGGCCTTCAACTCCCAGAAATCCTAACAGCTGGTAATCTGACCAGGATTTCTGGGAATTGTAGGCCAAAACACCTGGGGGCCACTGGTTGAGAACCACTGACACAAAGGAAGGCTACAGGGCGGGGGACATGGACCATGATGTGAAATTGCCTGATTTGTCTTTTAGCCAATTGAGCCTAACAAGTGATGACCCAAAAGGATGGCACAGCCCTGTGAAACTATAAAAGCAAATGTACTGTCTTACTTACTTAGGCAATCCCTCGTTGTCCAAGTAGAATTGTCTTTCAAGATCGGTGTACTGGTGGTGGGGTGCGTAGGTGACGGTGGAGCCCTATTCTTGACCTGCATATTCTCCCGCAGTGAGGGCATTGGTTTCCAGGTGGAAAGTGGTCCCGGTCGGGGTTGGCTTGACACGCCTTTCTCTTGGCACGTTTCTCTCTTTCGACCTCCATCTGTGCCTCTTCAAATTCTACAGCACTGCTGGTCACAGCTGACCTCCAGCTGGAGCACTCAAGGGCCAGAGCTTCCCAGTTCTCAGTGTCTATGCCAGAGTTTTAAAGGTTGGCTTTGAGCCCAGCTTTAAATCTCTTTTCGTGCCCACCAACATTTTATTTTCCGTTCTTGAGTTAGGAGTAGAGCAACTGCTTTGGGAGACAATGGTCGGGCATCCAGACAACGTGGCCGGTCAAGCGGAGTTGATGGCGGAGGACCATCGCTTCAATGCTGGTGGTCTTTGCTTCTTTCAGCATGCTGACATCTTCCCAAGAGATTTGCAGGATTTTTCAGAGGCAACCCAGGTGGAATTGTTCTAGGATTTGCATGTGAGGTCTGTGGATAGTCCATGTCTCGCAGGCGTATAGCAGGGTTGGAAGGACAGTAGCTTTATAAACAAGCACCTTGGTATCCCTACGGATGCCCCGGTCCTCAAACACTCTCTGCTTCATTCGGAAAAATGCTGCACTTGAAGAGCTCAGGCGGTGTTGTATTTCAGTGTCAACGTTGACTTTTGTGGAGAGTTGGCTGCCAAGGTAATGGAAATGGGTTATGTACTCCTCAGGGGTCCCTCCGTTTTGGTGGCACCACTGGAGCTCCAGTTCTCTCTTCTGAGTTTTTCTTTCTGAGAGCAAGAAACGCCTGGTTATTTTGTTGTCTGTGTCTGTCTGTGGCTGCACCTTTTAAGAGATTGGGGTGCCACTTTCTGCCCCAATGGGAAGTGAACCTGAAACACATTGGACAGATGAGTTGAGGGGTAGAAGCTCCTGGGCCCATCTCCAGGGCCCCCAGAGCAGCCCTTGTGAAAAGAATGGAAATTGACTTAGGAAGCAAGTGAAGGAAAGGAGCTGGAAGGACTTGAAAGGTGGATGGATCTCTTTGCTAGTCAATACTGCACAACAGCAAGAGTTTTAGGTAGGAAATTGGGAAGATGGGAGTAGAAGTTTCAAGATGCAGGACTTTAAGACCTAAAGAGAAGGGAAGAAAGGGAGAAATTGTGGGAATGAAGATAAATTAGAGAATCTCTGAGAGTACAAAGAAGCAGAGAAGTGTGTGAATGAGAGTGTGCACATGCTTAGAAACTTCAGAAACATCAACTATATTATGATGATGTTGTTTATTTATAACCTGCTTTTTCAACTAAGAGACTATAAAAAGGCAGTTGCATCTCATCCTGGTGGCACTATTTTCCTGTTGCACACCCGTTAGTTTTGCTCCATCCAAAATAAATCTATTGCATTTTGATCTCCTTGCCTCCAGTGTCTGATTGAAATAGAGATACTAAGGGTTTTGGGGCAGCACCAACCTCAACATTTGGAAGGAAAAAGCAGGGCAATGGATAGCCCTGTCATGGCCCCTGTGCTAAAGTTGTGCCATGCCCCCAGATACCCTCTTCTCCCTCTGGTCCATCTTCTTTGCTGCATATCTTCTTGGTACCTTACTGGATGCCATGTGCAAGGGGCACAGCTCCTTCCCAGTGCAGAGATTGCTCTTGGCACACTTTTTCATTGTAACTGTCTCTCTCTTTTGCAGCGAGATGCCAAAGGCCAGTATCTGTTCGACCTCCTTTGCCATCACTTGAACCTCCTGGAGAAGGACTACTTTGGGATCCGCTTCGTAGACCCGGACAAGCAGCGGGTGAGTGCTGGGAAAGGGCTTGGCCAAAGAAGAAACCCATGTGGAAGAACCCCCAAAAAGTCAGAGAGAGGCTGCCCCAAGGTTTGGTGGGTCTCTTTGCCCCTAAGCCAGTGGTTCTCAACCTGTGGGTCTCCAGATGTTTTCACCTTCAACTCCCAGATATATTAACAGCTGGTAAACTGGCTAGGATTTCTGGGAGTTGTAGGTCAAAACATTTGGGGACCCACAGGTTGAGAACCACTGTTTGGCCAGTGAGGTTGCGTTGATGAGAGCCCAAATATTCTTAGCTCATTTTTCCCTTACGTCTTCTTGAAAACATTATATTTCCTCCTCTTCTATTTCAGCACTGGTTGGAGTTCACAAAGTCTATTGTCAAGCAGATGCGATGTAAGTATTGTGTCTAACTTTGGGACTGAAGCATGGCTTTGATGCCATAAAGTGGGGGAAAGGGATAGCGGTGTTGTGTCATCTCTTGCTGCTAGACAACATTGTTTACAATTGGGTTTACAATTCTGTTACAATAATTATTGGGGATAATGGATCATGACTTATTAGGATCACTAACCATCAGGGTATATAGATCATGAACTGTTAGGATCACAACCTATTCGGAGTAACTTCTGCACTCTGACAGACTTCTATACACACGTTTCACTCAACACTTCTCTCTAACAGTCACACCTCAACTGTCATTCTGTTTAAACCTGAACATTCTAAACTGTCACTGAGCAGTCACTTGACCTGCAGCCCCTCCCACTGCTTTAGGTATATAGAGATAAGGAAACTTACATCAAATAAGACATATTTATTTATTTCATATACTTGTATCCTGTCCTTCTCACCCCCGAGGGGGGACTCAGGGCGGCCTCACAGTAAACATGATGATAAGAACAATCAATAAATTCATTGTATTGTCGAAGGCTTTCATGGCTGGAATCACTGGGTTGTTGTAGGTTTTTCAGGCTATATGGCCATGTTCTAGAGGCATTCTCTCCTGACTTTCATCTGCATCTATGGCAAGCATCCTCAGAGGTTGTGACCTCACTACCTCTGAGGATGCCTGCCATAGATGCAGGTGAAACGTCAGGAGAGAATGCCTCTAGAACATGGCCATATAGCCCAAAAAACCTACAACAACCCAATAAATTCATTAAAACAAAACATTAAATAAACAGTCTTTAAAACACGCCAATTAAAATCCAGGTCTGGATCAATTCATTGTCACTTCAAAATTGCTTATGTCTTCTTCATACAGCCGCTGTTCAATGGTCAAATACAAGGTCCCACAGCCAAGTCTTGAGTTTCCTTCTAAAGGACAGGAGAGAAGTGGCCAGTCTGATGTCTTTGGGGAGGGAATTCCACAGACGGGGAGCCACTGTTGAGAAGGCCCTGTCTCTCGTCTCCACCAATCGCATTTGCAACGGTGGTGGGATCGAGAGCAGGGCCTTTCCAGATGATCTTAAACTTTGTGATGAGATATTAGTAGGAGATATGTTCGGACATGTAGTCTGAGCATGTAGTATATGCTTCAGGTTATAAAACGACACATTAAAATACACAAACATCATATAGAGGAGGATTGAGAAGGTTGCTTCCTCCTGGAGAGACCCTGTCTTGGCTCAATGGGGTCAGAGCTGTTCCTGTGGATAATGCTGACCCCTCAAAGAAGCCAGCCTGACATTGGTGCCCTTCTCTCCTGCAGCGCAGCCGCCCTTCACCATGTGCTTCCGAGTGAAGTTCTACCCCACGGATCCGGCCGCCCTGAAGGAGGAGATCACCAGGTAAGGGATCCCCCTTTGGGAGGAAAAGAGGGCTTCAGAAATTTCAGAAACAGAGCTCCAGATTGTAGCCTTCAGAAAGGAGTTGGTTCTGCAATGGATGTCTAGTCCTGGCTAGAAGGTCACCATGGAGGCCTGAATTCTCCAAAGACTGGGCTGCTAACATCCCTGAGTTACAAACATCCGACTTAGAAATGATTCACAGTTAAGAACAGGGTTGAGACAGCAAGAAGTGAGAAATCTAACCATCAGAAGGGAAATTCTGAAAGAGTTATTATCATGGGGAAAAGGGGTCTCCACTGAAGCTTTCCCTAAAATTCTTATTTCCACAACAAGCTGGGCTTTAGCACAGCAGGTTAACGACCAGCTGCAGTAAATCTTGACAGTTTGAAGCCCAGGCCATGGTGAGCTCCTGGGCTTTAGCTCAGTTTCTGCCTACCTAGCAGTTTCAAAAACAGCAATGTGAATAGAGGTACTGCTTAGCAAGAATGTATTTAAGGCACCTATAAGGAAATGCCAGAAAAATGCCGGTGATTCCATCAAGGAGGAAATTTACAAACAAAGTTCTTTGGCAGAGAAAGTGGAGTGACAGCACCCCCCTGTGGAGAGAACCAAGCACAGCCTTCAAGATGCCGAAGATGGGAAAACCTCTCTCTCTCTCTCTCTCTATATATATATATAAACACACACACCTCTATCTATGTACAGTTGTCTGTCTTGTCAGTGTATAACAACATTGAATGTTTGCCGTAAATTTGTTTAAGCTCTGAATCCCCTTCAGGGTGAGAAGACCAGAATATAAATATTGTAAATAAATAAATACAACCCTATAAAGTAGGCATGGGAAAACTTTGTCCCTACAGGTGTTTTGGACTTCAACTCCCACAATTCCTAACAACCTACCGGCTATTAGGAATTGTGGAAGTTGAAGTCCAAAACACCTGTAGGGACAAAATTTGCCCATGCCTGCTGTAGAGTCTCTCTTGTTTGTAACTTGGGGATGGCCTATACTTGCATCTTCAACAAGCTGCTGAACGTCCAAAGGGTCTTGCGAAAATTACCAGCTCCTGGGCCCCAAATGCCAACAGCATCCTGTCCTGAAATGACTGCAGCCTTTCTGTCTGAAGGACGAGGACAGCGGCCCATGAATAAGTTATGTTGTCTCTTTCCCAACACACACAGCACATCCGCACACAAACACCAACCCTCCTTGCCGTCTGCCAGGCATCCCACTTGGGAAAATGCCAGTCTGCCCGTTGTTTACTGGGCTGTGCTCCCCCCACATACACACACACACACACCATAATGGGCTCTTCCTTCTTTCCTTCATTCAGTATTTAAGCTCTTTGGGGCATTGAGGAGAGGGATGTGTTGTCCATAAAAGGAAGGGCTGGGCTTCCTCTCCTCCCAAACCAAAAGCCTCTTAGATCAGTGGTTCTCAACCTGTGAACCCCTGGATGTTTTGCCCTTTGCCTCCCAGAAATCCTAACAACTGGTAAACTGTCTGAGATTTATGAAAGTTGTAGGCCAAAACACCTGAGGACACACAGGTTGAGAAACGCTGTCATAGATAGATCAATCTCTAGCATCCCCTGCACTGACCAATGCCAACATGTACCCATTTTCCTGGATCGGTAGTGGACTTTGCTCCTTGGGACTGAATATGGGCCAAATGGCAAGGATTGGAGGGTGTGGAGATGCTGTCTTTTCTCCTTGAGGGGGGGGGAAGTCTCTACAGCCCTTGGTCACTCACAAGGAGATTGGACCATCAGCCAGAGCTGTCTAAGCAGAGAATGAGAGGCTTCCTGTCCCAGGAAGGATTTGGCCATGCAGTTCCTTACACTATGGAACAAGATTTGAAAAATGTTCTGTTCCTGGTTTGAAAGTGTTATTTCCAGTTTAGTTGTGCAGTCCTCACTTTGAAAGTAATTCTTATATTCATGAAACTTTGTTTTTGTAGCTGCAACAAACAGACTCATTGATCAGAGATTCATTGAACAATTAAAGCCAAATGTGTTCCAGGATGCCCTTCCTGCAAAGACTTTTTTTTTTTTTGCAGTTTAACAAACTTTTCCTATGCTTTAATGATAGAACTAATAAGGAAATGACATTAGTAATCCAGGAACAAAAATCATATCACATAGTGTAGTAATTGTAGTAATACTAATACTCCAATAATAATCATGCCATAATAATAATAATAATAATAATAATAATAATAATAATAATAATAATAATAATTGTGTCTGACATGTGATCCAATGCAACAATCTTGATTGCTGTGGACTCATTCTGTTTCAAATAATAGTACTACTACTACTAATAATAATAGCTATATTACAATCATGGAAAAAAGAGCATGGAAAAAAACGAAGTATGGATCGTCGATGTTGCAATCCCAGGTGACAGCAGGATTGACAAGAAGCAACTCAAAAAGCTTACACAATATGAGGATTTAAAGATCGAACTGCAAAGCCTCTGGCACAAGCCAATAAAGGTGGTTCCAGTGGTGATCGGCATACTGGGGGCAGTGCCTAACGACCTTGGCCTGCACTTAAAAACAACTGGCGTGGACAAAATCACCATCTGTCATCTGCAAAAGGCTACCCTACTCAGATCTGCATACATTATTCGCCGATACTTCACATAGTCCTAGACACTTCAGAAGTGTTCGACGTGTGATCCAATACAACAGCCAGCATAGTGATCTTGTTTGCTGTGTAGTAATCATGTTGTTTATCAAATAGGTATAATAATAATAATAATGCCATAATAATAATGCAATAATGCAGTAATAACAATGCAATAATAATAATAATATTAGTAGTAGTAGTAGTAGTAGTAGTAAAGAAATAATGACATTTCGTAGAAGTCAACTAATTATGAGGACTTGTGTTTTATTGTTTTTATTGTCTCTATTGTTTTTATATGGTTTATATTATATGTTAATGTTTTAATTATATTTTATGTTGTTGGGGGCATTGAATTTTGCCGATTGTAAATTGCCCTGAGTCGCTTCTGGACTGAGAAAGGTGGTATATAAATACGGCAAATAAATAAATAAATACATAAACAAACAAACAAATAATGTTGTTGACATGTTTACATACCTCGACCTTCAGATTGTTTAGAATTCTTAATTTTTAGAAGATCTTAGTAAGTAACCCACAGAGTGACGTTACCAGGGTGTTTCACTCTGCTCCTCCAGCCAAACATAAAGGACCTGGGCCAGAAGATCCCAAGGGATTTTTGTTGTTGTTGTTGTTGTTGTTGTTGTGTCAGGAGTGACTTGAGAAACTGCAAGTCACTTCTGGTGTGAGAGAATTGGCCGTCTGCAAGGACGTTGCCCAGGGGACACCCGGATGATTTGATGTTTTTATCCTCCTTGTGGGAGGCTTCTCTCATGTCCCCACATGAGGAGCTGGAGCTGACAGAGGGAGCTCATCCTCGCTCTCCCCGGATTCGAACCTGCGACCTGTCGGTCTTCAGTCCTGCTTGCACAGGGGTTTAACCCACTGTGCCACCGGGGGCTCCATCCCAAAGGATGATCTGATAAATCTTGCCACTTTTTTGGGTGCAGATCTCTTTGCATGTGGCTTGGTCCCTCCAGAGTCAGTGCTTCCCAAGGAAGCCCACTGCCCCAGGAACCAGCTCATTTGCGTTGCAGATTTTTATGCTAATCAGTAGCTCCAGCCTCTGCTCTGCTGTGCACCCAGGAGACCTCGATTTAAATGCAAAACGGGCAGCGAAACAGCCTCTGTCTCCGACAGATATTCAGCCGCATGCAATATGCTAATTGGGAATGCTCTGGGTCAGCGCCCGCCCTGGACATCCGTTCATTCGTTTGCAAGGATGATAATAATCAGGGGGATGGCAACAGCCCTCAATGCCGAGCAAGGGGCAGACCTGAGTGGCTCTTCGATGGTCTGGATCATCTGGCATTCGTTTGATCCAGTGGCTTCTTTGCCATGTTATTATCTCCCAACTGCAGGTGAAAAGGATTTGGAAGAGAAGGGAAGTGCCATCCTTGCAACCAAGCAGTTTTTGTCCAGAAATGTAAAGCGGGAGCAGATCTAATTTTAGAGCCTATGTCTGTAAATTAATGTAGGTCAACCCTATTTCTTATGGGTTGGAAAGGCAGGAAATGGAACAGGAGCCTCACTGATGGATGATGGCCTTAGCCCTAGGAGCCGCTCAGCACTGAAATCTTGATGTGCTCTTTGCGTCAGCTTTGCAAAGAATATTATCTGTTGCTTAGTGTTGCAAATTGATTCGAGTGGTGAACATTAGTTTCCCCTCCAATAAACACTTTGTAGTTTACGTGATTTAAGATTCCTTCTAATTGCCAGAATATATCTCAAGAGATGATTTAAGATTGCACAAGACAGGGGCCAAAAGAGTGATACAATGATGGAATGAAGGCCATCTGAATGCTGATGCATCTCAATCCTATCAGACTTGTCAAGAGAGATTGCAGAAGAGGATATAGCTAAGACAGGCAGACATGTTAAGGGCCAAAGCACACATTCTGCAAAAAAGTAGCATGCAAGACGTATCTGGTTTTGTTGATGTTCTACGCCAGTGTTTCTCAATCTTCCTAATGCTGCGACACCTTAATACAGTTCCTCATATTGTGGTGACTAGATAGATAGATAGATAGATAGATAGATAGATAGATAGATAGATACACACACACAAATACAAAGTGAGAGTCTTAGAATTGAAAGGGGCCCCTAAAGGTAATCTAGACCAGTGTTTCTCAATCTTCCTAATGCTGCGACACCTTAATACAGTTCCTCATATTGTGGTGACTAGATAGATAGATAGATAGATAGATAGATAGACAGACAGACACACACACACACGCACACACACACACACACACACTTGAATACCAAGCAAGAGTTTTAGAATTGAAAGGGGCCCCTAAAGGTCATCTAGACCACTGTTTCTCAACCTTCCTAATACAGTTCCTCATGTTGTGGTGACCCCTAACCATAACATTTTTTTCGTTGCTACTTCATAACTGTCACTTTGCTACTGTTCGGAATCGTAATGTAAATATCTGATATGCAGTATGTATTTTCATTCACTGGACCAAATTTGGCACAAATACCCCATATGCCCAAATTTGAATACTAATGTGGTTAGGGAAGATTGATTTTTGTCATTTGGGAGTTGTAGTTGCTGGGATTTATAGTTAACCTACAATCAAAGAGCATTCAAAAAGCACACAGAACTCCCATGACCAACAGAAAATACTGGAAGGGTTTGGTGGGCATTGACCTTGAGTTTTGGAGTTGTAGTTCACCTACATCCAGAGAGCACTGTGGACTCAAACAATAATGGATCTGGACTAAACTTGGAACGAATACTCAATATGCCCAAATGTGAACACTGGCGGAGTTTAGGAAAATAGACCTTGACATTTGGGAGTTGTTGTTACTGGGATTTATAGTCCACCTGCAATCAAAGAGCATTCTGAACCCCACCAACAATAGAATTGGGCCAAACTTCTCACACAGAACCCCCACGACCAACCGGAAATAGTTTTTCTTGATGGTCTTTAGCGACCCCTCTGACACCCCCATCGTGACCCCCCCCCCTCCAGGGATCCTGAACCCCAGGTTGAGAAATGCTGCCTTAACTTCTATGACTCTTCTCTTGCAGCTGGGGCTGAAGCAAAAGGCACTAACCCCCTGTTTGCTGTGGTTTCTTTGCCAGGTATCTGGTCTTCTTGCAGATCAAAAGGGACCTCTATCACGGGCGCCTCCTCTGCAAGACGTCTGACGCCGCTCTGCTCGCTGCCCACATCCTTCAGGGTGAGCTCAGCTTTGAAAGGAAACGCAGTTATTGTGGTTTCAGCTCCAAAAGATTACCGCAAAGCAGCATATTGAGCCGATACATCCCTTCCGCCATTCAGTTGGACCAAAATAAACTGCCCATTGTATTGTGAAACACTTTCACGGCCCAAATCCATGGGATATTGAGTGGTTTCCGTGCTGTATTGTTGTTGTTGTTTATGCATACCCTGCCTTTTCTCTTCACAAGGAGACTCAAAGCAACTTGCATAAAAAGCAATTCAGTACAATTCAATATCTGCAAATATATAAACAGCCCAATATCACGGGTATTAAAAATTCAGTCAAAATCAATAAATATATGTATGGCCGTGTTCTGGCATCATTTTCTCCTGACATTTCACCTACATCTGTGGCTGGTATCTTCAGGTGACCTGATGCTCGTCAAGCAAGTGGAATATATAATATACTTGTGGAATAATGTCCAGGGTGGAAGAAAGAACCATTGTCTATTCAACAAATATAAAGGGTGCAATATAAATTGGCAAGCTTGATTTACATGTGCTGAGTGGTATTTACCCATTAGTATGCAAATAACCATGAAGATAGCATGGTCATTTAGTAAGGGGCATCTGCATGCAAGTAGCCTTGCCTTCGTTCCCTTTGTTTACTGTCTGGAGACATCCTTTGTCTGGGTGGAGTTCACAAGCTCCTGATTGCTTGCTGCCTGGAGACCTCCTATGTCTGGGTGGGGTTCATTCATTAGTTACAGTCCTGATTCTCATGTTTTTCAATACTGGTAGCCAAATTTTACTCATGTTCATGGTTTCTTCCTTTCTGGTTAAATTGTCCATGTGCTCTTGGATTTCAATGGCTTGCTCCTGGCCAACATAAGCCAACAGCCATCCTCTGCCATTCTGCAATGCTGAAAGTGTTGGAGTGATGGAGAAGAGCTTTAGGGGAATCTCTTCTCCTCTCTTCCGTGGCCTCCTGGAGCAAGTGAAGGCAGTTAGCGCTTATCCTGCTGCAACCAGGGAAGGGAAGACCATGCCAGGCTTTTCTGCACCACAAAGCCCTGATTTCTCAATCCCTCTCTTCTTGTTGTTCTTCTTTCAGCGGAGATTGGCGACTATGACCCCGGGAAGCACCCTGAGGGCTATAGCTCCAAGTTCCAGTTTTTCCCCAAACATTCAGAAAAGCTGGAAAAGAAGATTGCAGAGATCCACAAGATTGAGCTCAGGTGAAGGCTACCTCCTCTCTGGTGCTGAGTTTCCTGGAACTCTCTGGCTAATGTTGCTTGTCCCCATATACACAATGAGTAGGAAATCTGCCATTGTTGTTGACTAATAGAGCACTCAGACATATATTCTTGGATAAAACCAATTATCTCTAGCTCCCTTGCAGTTTGGTTTTAGACTTGGTCACGGAATGGAGAATGCTTTGATTGCCTTGGTGGATGACCTCTGCAGAGAACTAGACGGGGGAGTGTGTCCCTTCTAGCTCTCCTGAATATCTCAGTGGCTTTCAATACCATCATCCATGGTATCCTTCTGGGTCGGCTCTCCAGAACGGGTCTTGGGAGCACTGTTTGCAGTGGCTCCACTCCTTCCTGGAGGATTGTACCCAGATGGTGATGCTGGGGGACACCTGCTTGGATCCCTGGCCCTTGACCTGTGGGGTCCCGCAAGGTTCCATTCTGTCTCCCATGCATTTCAACATCTGCAAGAAACAGCTGGGTGAGGTCATCCGGAGTTTTGGAGTTGGGTGCCATCTCTACGCAGATGACACACAACTCTACTACTCTTTAACACCCCATTCCAAGGAAGCTCCCTGGATCCTGGATCAGTGTCTGGCAGCTGTGATGGACTGGATAAGGGCCAACAAGCTGAGACTCAATCCAGACAAGACAGAGGTCCTCCTAGTCAGTTGTGAGGCCAGTTGGGGTATATGGTGGCAACTATGCTTGATGGGGTTATACCCCCACTAAGGACACAGGTCTGCAGTCTGGTGGTCCTCCTGGACTCAGCGCTGGCACTTGAAGCTCAGGTGTCAGTGGTGGCTGGGAGGGCCTTCACACAGTTAAAACTTGTGTGCCAGTTGTGACCATACCTCAAAGTCTGATCTGGCCACAGTGGTCCATGCCTTACTTACATCCAGAATGGACTACTATACTGCACTCAATGTGGGGCTGCCTTTGAAGACAGCCCGGAAACTGCAATTAATGCAAAAATCGGCGACCAGATCACTACTATGGGCGAATTATAGGAAGCATACGATGCCCTTATTAAAGTAAGTCCACTGGCTGCCAACAAGTTTCCAGATTCAATTCAAAGTACGGGTTATTACCTATGAGGCCTTATACGGTTCAGGTCCAACTTATTTTCAAGACTGCATCTCCTATGACGAACCAGCACAGGCCTTGAGATCAGCCGGGGAGGCCTCCTCTCAGTCCCACCTCCATCTCAAGTGTGGTTGGTGGGGACGAGAGAGAGGACCTTCTCGGTGGTGGAATGCCCTTCTGAGAGAGATCAGGCTATCTCCCACTCTCCAAGCCTTTCAGACACAATTGAAGACATGGCTTTTTAGACAAGCCTTTGACCATGTTTAGAAATTCTTAATGAACATATTCAAGGACTTAGAGATTATTTCACCTTGCACTTTATGAGGCTGATATTGATTGCACTTTGTTTTATATCTGCAGCTGCTGTTGCTTTTTATTGATTTTAACCAGTGGGGTTTTATGATGCTATGTTGTCTATTATTGCTTTTGTGTTGTTGGGTTGTTGTGTCTTGCAAGGCCATGTTCCAGAAGCATTCTCTTCTGACATTCGCCTGCATCTATGGCAGGCATCCTCAGAGGTTGTGAGATCTGTTGGAAACTAGGTAAATGGGGTTTACATATTTGTGGAATGATGTCCAGGGTGGGAAAATAACTCTTTGTCTGTTTGAGGTAAGTGTGAATGTTTCAATTGGCCACCTTGATTAGCATTTAATGATCTAGCAATTGCAAGGTGTGGCTTCTTATCGCCTGGGAGAATCCTTTGTTGGGAAGTGATTAGCAGTTTTTGTGTTATTGTTTATGCACTTTGTTTATGTATTTTGTATGTTTACTCCTTTGAGTGCTTTGTGATCCGCCCCACGTCCCTTTGGGAGATGGTGGCATGTGAATGTTTCAATTGGCCACCTTGATTAACATTTAATTGCCTAGCAGTTGCAAGGTGTGGCTTCTTACCGAATGGGAGAATCCTTTGTTGGGAGGTGATTAGCAGTTTTTCTGTTATTGTTTATGCACTTTGTTTATGTATTTTGTATGTTTACACCTTTGAGTGCTTTGTGAGCCACCCCATGTCCCTTCGGGAGATGGTGGCGTGTGATTGTTTCAACTGGCCACCTTGATTAACATTTAATTACCTAGCTGTTACAAGGTGTGGCTTCTTACCACCTGGGGGAATTCTTTGTTGGGAGGTGATTAGCAGTTTTTCTGTTATTGTTTATGCACTTCCTGTATTTTGTATGTTTGCACCTTTGAGTGCTTTGTGAGCTGCCCCAAGTCCCTTCGGGAGATGGTGGCAAAGTATAAATAAAGATTTTTTTCGTCATGTCAGTAGTGACTTGAGAAACTGCAAGTTGCTTCTGGTGTGAGAGAAGGACATTGCCCAGGGGATGCCTGGATGTTTTTTGATGTGTTACCATCCTTGTAAGAGGCTTCTCTCATGTCCCCGTATGAAGAGCTAGAGCTGATAGAGGGAGCTCATCCGTGCTCTCTCTGGATTCGAACCTGCGACCTGTCGGTCTTCAGTCCTTCTGGCACAGGGGTTTAACCCACTGTGCCACCGGGGGCTCCTATAAATAAATTATTATTATTATTATTATTATTATTCTATATTATATTCTGAAGAGTGGTTGTCATAAAAGTGTAACTGGAACAATTATGAGCTTCCAGTTTGTACCACGCAGTTACAGTTCTCTAGGATCTTCTGCAAACTGAACTGGGAATTCGTTCCTTGAGGCTCACTCAGCCTTCTCACTGCCTTTCCCTCTTGCTTGCAGTGGTCAGACACCAGCCATGTCAGAACTCAATTTCCTGCGGAAAGCCCAGACCTTGGAAACCTATGGCGTCGACCCACATCCCTGCAAGGTATTCCCGCAGCCGGAGTGAGATGGAAGGGCCTCCTTGGCTTTCTTATGGCATTGCTTGGTGGACCAACAAGGTCAATGCAGATCGCCTGAACATTGCCTTGGTGTCAAGGGACGGATTCAGAAGGCCGAGTGCGGTTGGGACCGGCCCTTTTTCCTGGCAAGATGGAAGAGCGCATGCGGGTTGGGTGATGCACAAAGCCTGTGCTTTGGCCTCCGTCACAAGGCTTTCTCTCTGTGTGTTTCAGGATGTGTCTGGGAACGCCGCCTTCCTGGCCTTCACCCCCTTCGGGTTTGTCGTCTTGCAAGGAAACAAGCGAGTGCACTTCATCAAATGGTGAGTCCTGTTGTGCCCATTGGGCTGGCATGATAATGATGATGAGGAGGAGAAGGATGGGTAGTCCACAGGGTGGGGAATGGTGCCACTGTCTGGATTGAATCTAAGGCGGGTATGGGCAAACTTTGGCCCTCCAGGTGTTTTGGACTCCAACTCCCACCATTCCTAACAGCCTCAGGCCCCTTCCTTTTCCCCCTCAGCCGCTTAAGCTTAAGCGGCTGAGGGGGAAAAGGAAGGGGCCTGAGGCTGTTAGGAATGGTGGGAGTTGGAGTCCAAAACACCTGGAAGTACAAAGCTTGCCCATACTTGGTCTAAGCTTTCTAACTCCATGACTTCCAAAGGAAACATCTCTAAAGACTACATTTTCCCATTCACACACAAATAAAGAATGGAAAGAATGGAATGAAGGAATGAATGAACACAAGGTTTCAAAACAAAGGAAGATGCATTACGAAGAATTCCATCCTACGCCACCAATTCGGATGGGAGGAGGAAGGACAGAGAATGAGAGAAAACAAAACAACAACAGTACAAAAACAAGCCACTTAAAATTATAACAACCCCCATCAACACATGTAGCATAAAATCAAAATAATACAATTTTAAAACAACAGTAGATCAACCTAACTGTCGTCAATTCACAAGCTGCCCACTTGCAGCTTCTTATGGGCCCATTCCGTCTACTCAAGTGTCAAAGGCCTGTCTGAACATCCATGTTTCCAACGGAAGGATTGAAGAGTGGGGGCTAACCTATTCTCTTTTGGGAGGGTATTCAGTCTGAGTCCCTCTATGGAGGTAGAGAAGATCGGGATATAAAAGTTTTAAATAAAATAAAATAAAATAAATATTCCAGAGCCGTGGGGCCACCACAGAGAAGGCCCTCTCTCTCATCCCCACCAACCACTCTTGAGACAATGGTGGGACTGAGAGGAGGACCTCCCCTGTCGATCTCAAAGCCAATGATGGTTCATAGAAAGATATGCAGTTTCGAAGATAGGTTGAACCCAAAGCGTATTAACATAATAATATGTATAATATATATATATATATATATATATGTAATAAGTATATATAATAATATTTTAAAATGTAATATTAATAATAATATAATTATATATAAACTAATAAGTATATAATATAATATTGTCGAAGGCTTTCATGGCCAGAATCACTGGGTTGTTGTAGGTTTTTTCGGGGTATATGGTCATGGTCTAGAGGCATTCTCTCCTGACGTTTCGCCTGCATCTATGGCAAGCATCCTCAGAGGTAGTGAGGTCTGTTGGAACTAGGAAAAAGGGTTTATATATCTGTGGAATGACCAGGGTGGGACAAAGGACTCTTGTCTGCTGGAGCTAGGTGTGAATGTTTCAACTGACCACCTTGATTAGCATATAATGGCCTAACAGTGCCTGGAGCAAACTTTTTGTTGAGAGGTGATTAGATGTCCTTGTTTGTTTCCTCTCTGTTGTTGTGCTGTTGTAATTTTAGAGTTTTTAAATACTAGTAGCCAGATTTTGTTCATTTTATGGTCTCCTCCTTTTTGTTGAAATTGTCCAAAAGCCATTGAAATACACAAGCATGTGTATTCACACCTAGCTCCAGCAGACAAGAGTCCTTTGTCCCACCCTGGTCATTCCACAGATATATAAACCATTTTTCCTAGTTCCAACAGACCTCACTACTTCTGAGGATGCTTGCCATAGGATGCAGGCAAAACGTCAGGAGAGAATGCCTCTAGATCATGGCCATATAGCCCGAAAAAACCTACAACAACCCATATAAAATAATAATTTAAAATATAATATTAATATAAGGGAGCCCCGGCGACGCAGTGGGTTAAAGCGCTGAGCTGCTGAGCTTGTTGACTGAAAGGTCGCAGGTTCGAATCCGGGGAGCAGCGTGAGCTTCTGCCAACCTAGCAGGTCGAAAACATGCAAATGTGAGTAGATCAATAGATACCACTCTGGCGGGAAGGTAACTATGCTCCAAACAGTCATGCCGGCCACATGTCCTTGGAGGTGTCTATTGACAACGCTGGCTCTTTGGCTTAGAAATGGAGATGAGCACCACACCCCAGAGTCGGACAATGTCAGGGGAAAACCTTTACTTTTACCTAATATGATTTTTGTTCCTGGGTTATATATGTTGTCTCCTACTTGGTCATAAAAACATGGGAAAAGTTTGTTAAACTGCAAAAAGTTTGTTTTTGCGGGACATCCTGCCATAGCACATTTTGCGATTGTTTTTCAATTATTCATTCTTCTCTTCCCCTACATCTCGCACCCTATATCCTCCTAAGAGGAAGAGAGTGCATTTAAGCCCCAAAAGTGAGGTGAGCTTCTTCATCCACTTCTAGTGTGGGTCGGTTTGTAGACGGGCCTCCCTTTGTTCGTTCTTACTATTCTGTGAGCATCCCAGGTGTCTCTCTGATGGATGTCTTGCTCACAATTGGAGTTGCCCAGAGGAGATTTGGCTGTGTCTATTTACATCTGTACACCGTCTCTAAAAATAACCGAGGTGGCTTGTGGAATAAACCAAACCGCAGATGAAAAGGCACTTAAAAGAACAGCAAAACCACAACCGAGCCGCTAAAACCACATAGGGCAGAAGGTTTGGAGAGCAGTCCTTTGGAGCCAAGTTCCTTCCTCATCCGCTTGAAGGTTTTCGGCTGTTTCCCTGGAGCCTTTGAACCAGAAAGGAGGAAGAGTCCATCGTGGACGTAGGCATGAAAGCATAGGCCAAAAAGGTCAACCATGGAGTATAACTTATTTATTTATTTACAACATTATATGCCGCCCTTCTCACTCCGAAGGGGACTCAGAGCGGCTTACAAGTTATATGTACATACAATATATTATATTATTAGCATAGCACAATATTAGTACCATACATTCCCATATTGTACTACAACACTATACTGTAATATTATTAGTAATATTACATGTAATATGAAATATATAATTATTATATTGTATTATTAGTAGTAATATATTGTATTACATGATGACATTATCAATATTATATGTGTATACAATATATTATATTATTAGCATAGCACAATATTAGTAGCATATATTCCCATATTGTACTATACCACTATACTGTAATATTATTAGTAATATTACATATAATATAAAATATGTAATTACTATATTGTATTATTATTATWATATTTTATTGCATTATAACATTATCAATATTATATGTCTATATAATACATTATATTATTAGCACAGCATGATATTAGTATCATATATTACTATATTGCACAATACCACTATACTGTAATATTAGTAATATTACATGTAATATAAAATATATAATTCATATATTGTATTATTATTAGTGTTATATTGTATTACATTWTAATATTATTATCAATATTATATGTTTATACAATATATTATATTGTTAGCACAGAACATCAGTAATAGATTAATACTATATTATATTAATATATAAGCCTTATATTACGAGGGTTGAATGAAAAGTAATGCCTTCACCTTCATAATTCCTCAACAGATGGCAGTACTGGTATGCGGCAGGTACTGGCTTGTTCAGTAGACTCTCCTCTACAGTTCCATTTCCGCGGGATGCCTTAGCTTTGAACAGTTGTGTTGTTAAAGTGCGAAGTATGGAACCCTGCACAGACAGTTGGTCAATGCGACTTAAGCAACGTGTAGTCATTGAATTCTTGGCAGCAGAAGGTATCACCTCAACATCTTTAAGCTGACTCGCCCAATGACGCACAGTACTCACATCAACACAATCACTATAAACAGCTTGCATTCTCTGATGAATCTCCTTTGGGGTGACACCTTCTATGTCAAGAATTCAATACCTGCACGTTGCTTAAGTCACATTGACTGACCGTCTGCGCAGGGTTCCCAACTTCGCACTTTAACAACACAAACATTCACTGATAAGGCTTCCCGCCAAAATGGGACTGTAGAGGAGAGTCTACTGAACAAGCCAGTAGCTGCCACATAGCAGTACTGCCATCTGTTGAGGAGTTACGAAAGTTGGAGGTATTATTTTTCATTCAACCCTCGTAATATATAAGCCTTAAAGTGCCAGTTTGAATATTGTGATTATTTTTCACTGGTTTATTGCTTAATTCATGTATTCACGGTGTTTGTTAGTTGTTTTGAGTCCTATTCCTTAAATGGGATTGGAAAAGTGGGATTGAAATTACTTGGAATAAACGAATCAAAGGATTTGCCCCATGGCCGATCCCAATCAGGCCCCACCAAACAGCCAGGAAAATCCTCATACAAGCTGTTGACATCCAGGGCATTGTGACACTAAAAGCTCTGAATGGCCCAGATTCAAAACCCTGTATTTTTTTGCCCCCCTCTGTTTTTGAAGGGTTACATTGGGAGCCCATTTCTGGGCCTTAAAAGGCCCAGCACTCCAATATGTTCCATCTTTTAAAGCAGGGGGCTGGACCACGTGAATGGAAAGGGAACCTATCTCTGGCTGCAAGGATTTTGCCAAACTGTGGCTGAATGTCTCGGTTTCCTCTGTAATTCCAGAACTAGTTCTGAAGATAAAAAGGCCACAGAATATACAGAGTATTGTCAAAGCCTTTCATGGCCTGAATCACTGGGGTGTTGTGAGGTTTCCAGGCTGTATGGCCAATGTGTTCTAGCAGCATTTTCTCCTGATGTTACACCTGCATCTGTGGCTACTGGTATCATCGGAAGATCTGATTGTGGTAAAGTAAGTGGAGTATAGATATCTGTGGAATGTCCAGAGTGGGAGAGAACCAGAATCGAGACTTACACTAATGAACGCTACCCGGACACAGGAGATCTCCAGACAGAAAGCAGCCAAGGGCCAGTGAACACCACCCAGGCTAAGGATGTCTTTAAGATTACTTACTTACTTACTTAGGCGATCCCTCGTTGTCCAAGTAGGATTGTCTCCCAAGATCAGTGTACTGGCGGTGGGTACATAGGTGACTGTGGAGCCCTATTCTTGACCTGCATGTACTTCCACAGTGAGGGCATTGGTTTCCAGGTAGAAGGTGGTCCCGATCGGGGTTGACTTGACGCACCTTCCTCTTGGCATGTTTCTCTCTTTCGCCCTCCATTTGTGTCTCTTCAAATTCTACAGCACTGCTGGTCACAGTTGACCTCCAGCTGGAGCGCTCAAGGGCCAGGGCTTCCCAGTTCTCAGCATCTATGCCAGAGTTTTAAAGGTTGGCTTTGGGCCCATCTTTTCCTGCCCACCAATATTCCATTTTCCATTCTTGAGTTCGGAGTAGAGCAACTGCTTTGGGAGATGGTGGTCGGGCATCCGGACAATGTGGCCAGTCCAGCGGAGTTTTTAAGCAGCAAACAATTCAAAGGGAACAAAGGTCAAGCTACTTCCATGCAGATGCCCTATGTACTAACATGCTAATGGGTGGATCCCACTCAACACATGCAAATCAAGCTTGGGAATTGCGCCCTTTACGCTTGTTTAACAGACTATGGTTCTTTCCTCCCGCCTTGGACATTCCACAGGTATATATTCTCCACTTATTTGACTCCCATCAGATCCTATAGACACAGAGGCAGGCAAAACAAAGAAAGGAGAAAATGCTGCTAGAATACATTGGCCATACAGCCTGGAAACCACATAACATCCCAATATACAAAGTGCTTCCCAAGTGTTAGCCTTCATCCCTGCATCGTGCATCCTGAGTCAATGCATCCTGACTGCTGACCACTAAGCAATTGGGCCTTGGTGAATCAAGGGCTTCAAACCCTTGGCTGGTCACTCATCCTGAGATGGTCCCAAGCAGCAGTCTCCTTCCCACCATCATCCTAAAACCGCTGCAGTGCGTGGTTCCTCCCCAAATGCAATGCGTGGCTCGTCTCCTTGCCTTCCCCAGAGTGGAAAGGAGTGCATCCGGTCCCTGTGGCGCTCAGTCGGCCCCTTCTCTTGCTTTGCATTGTATCCCGCTGTCGATGTACCCCAGTTTCCTGTTTGCCTTTTTTACTGCAGCCACACACTGGGGCTGACGGTTCCAAGGATTTTTCTGCAACCCCCCCTAGCCCCCTTTCCTGGTCAGTACGCTGCATGACTGTTTCCGTGTGATCTGTACTCTCAATATTGAGTCTGTTGCCCTCACCCCCCGAACGCATCCTTTTCGTACATTTGTCTGCGTTAAACAACGTTGTCCATGTTCTTGGCACAGTCCCCTCAATGGGGCTTCTTTCAGTCCTGCTCCAGACGTGGTTGCATTGTGGCTCATTCCGTCACTGTTATATCCGACGTCGGCCCCATCAGCTAATTGTGGTTCTCTTACATTTGATATTCACATCTGGGTTAGATACAAGAGACAGCCGGGGGGGGGGGGGCTCCTGACCCTTTCCTTAAGACTCTTACAGCAGCGTTTCTCAATCTGGGGGGTCAGGAGGGGATTTCAGAGGGGTCAACAAAGACCACCAGATAACATATTTCTGATGGTCTTAGCAATCCTTTTGGTAGAGAAAACTGAAGTTCTCTCTGCCTGTCCTTCTCTTCCTATTTGTAAACAGATGGTGAATCTTTTCACCAAAAGCCCTTCTCTGCTGTGATTGGCCAATCTCTCAGTCAAGGGAAGGGCTGTTTCTGAGACCCCAAGCGGGGAGGGGAGAGCAAGCACTCTCAGCGCATGGCAGTGTGGTGGGCATGTGTGAGGGAGGGAGAGCGTGCTAGGCTGGAGGGAAGCTCACACCAGTGAGTCCCTTCAAGGCATGGGGGTTCTGTGTGGGAAGTTTGGCCCAATTCTATTGTTGGTGGAGTTCAGAATGCTCTTTGATTGTAGGTGAACTATAAATCCCAGCAACTACAACTCCCAAATGTCAACGTCTGTTTTCCCCAAACTCCACTAGTGTTCACATTTGGGCACATTAAGTATCCATGCCAAGTTTGATTGAGTCCACAGTGCTCTCTGGATGTAGGTGAACCACAACTCCAAAACTCAAGGTCAATGCTCCCCTAACCCTTCCAGTATTTTGTGTTGGTCATAGGAGAAAGTATGCCAAGTTTGGTTCAATTCCATCGCTTGAGTTCAAAATGCTTTTTGATTGCAGGTGAACTATAAATCCTAGAAAATACAACTCCCAAATGACCAAATCAATTCCCCCAACCCACCAGTATTGGGTATTTGTGCCAAATTTGGTCCAGTTAATGGAAACACATTCTGCATATCAGATATTTACATTAGGATTACTAACAATAGCAAAATTACAGTTACAAAGTAGCAACGAAAATAATGTTATTCTTGGGGGTCACCACATCATGAGGAATTGCATTAAAGAATCGTGACGTTAGGAAGGTTGAGAAATAGCATCTTACGGTGTAGACACACAATAGATGCTGAGGTTGCCCCTCTTCTCTCCCCATGTTGCACTTTGGATGAACTGCAAACGGATGGCGACTTGAAAACTCTCCTTTGGTGCCGAGAGTTTGGCTTAAGTTTTTGCTTCTTGCCAGAAACATTTCGATGTTGGGAAGGGCCCTGCGTTTGCAATGGAGGGAGGAAGAGACGCTCCATCGCTCTGTTTACAGAAGCCCTCTCTTTCTTTTTTAACATGTCCCTTGTAGGAATGAAGTGGCAAAGCTGAAATTTGAAGGCAAGACGTTCTATTTATACGTAAGTCAGAAAGAGGTGAGTGCCTTTGCCGAATGGCCACGAACCATCATATTTGCCTCTCTTCCAAAAAGCAGAATGTCAGAATCTCTGGTTTGAACCCACTTCTGCTTCAAAGCCATTGAAGAAATACAACATAAGTCTGAGAGGTGCCAAGCGAGTTGGGTGCATCCTTTTTAAGTACGAAGGGATAGCAGCCTGATGTGAGAGAGTTCATTTTCTTCCCGTCCTTTCCCCTTTTTCCTTCTTTGTTTACAATTACCGAGACTCTGGCTGTACATTCGAGTACAACGTTCGATATGTGCATCCCTTTGCAAAGCTAGATAAATGATGTCTTATAATTAGAAGGCAGAGTCAGAGACATGTTAGGGTTCAGATCTTTTTGGGCATGCAGTTTTGCTCTTTGCAGAGTTGGATGCTGAAATAGTAGGTGAGAAAAAAACAAGTAGAAACGTTGCTGGAAGGACCCAGAGCAGCATTGCAAGCTCATGTTGCCCAGTTTGAAATGGTCCTGACCTTTCTGGTGCGCTGGAACTGCCTTGCTGGACAGCTACTAATATGCTTAGTCTGCACACAATGCTTGTTGAGCAGCCCGGATTTTTCACAGACACATACATCCACATCCAAATGAGCCTGGGATCCTTCACTCCATGCCGCAAAGGCACTTGCATTTCAGTCTAGGTATAGAAAGCATGCTGCGTGTGGACCAAATGCATAGACTGGCCTTCTGTATTTTTCTGGGCAGGAAAAGAAAATTGTTCTGACCTATTTTGCTCCAACACCTGAAGCCTGCAAGCACCTCTGGAAATGTGGGATCGAGAACCAAGCCTTCTATAAGTAAGCATTGCGTCACACTGGGTACCTCCCTATGGCTTGTCCTTGTTTTCTTTGTAAATTAGCCTTCCCTGTTAAATGTTTCTTTCGGTCATTAAGTTGCAAGAATTTCCACCATTCTGTATCATTGCTGGAGAAATCCTCATGTGTTTCCCGGAAGCAGATAGTTGAGGCTCTACAGCAAATCCATGCCTGACACAAATGTGACTACAGTAGAGTCTCGCTTATCCAACCTTCGCTCATCCAACATTCTGTATTACCCGATGCAGCCTGCCTCCTGCCCGGATCCACAGTTGTTTCAGTACATTGCAATGTTTGGGTGCTAAATTCGTAAATATAGTAATTACTACATAATGTTACCATGTACTGAAATGCTTTTTCTGTCGATTTGTTGCCAGACATCATGTCTTGGTCCTTAATTTGTAAACGTCATAACGTAATTTGACGTTTAATAGGTTTTTCCTTAATCTTTCCTTATTATCCAACATTTTTGCTTATCCAACATTCTGCCGACCCATTTATGTTGGATAAGCGAGACTCTACTGTATTCTGGGTTCAATGTAGAGCTGTAGAAGACCACAAAAAGCCAAAGTCCCAGATAGTATTGCTACCATTTCTGGGCAGGAAGTGACCTTAAATACAGAATCAAATGCACTTAAAGCTGGAAGGATGCAGATTGGTCAACGGTTCCCAGCCTGTGCTCCGTGGAGTCCTAATGGCACCGCATATGCTTCTTGAGGGCTCCGCGGCCATTCCAGGAAAATAAATAAAAACTGAATGAATCAAAGAACAAGAAACAAAATGTAGACACTAAATAAGAAAACTTAGATATTACATCCTGAAAATTCTGAACAGAATTTGGTTTCGTTTATCGAACTTTGGGAGAATTTCTATGTATGGCTAAGTTTTGACAATAGCATACATACTGGTGGTAGTTGAGAAAAAAAATTGGGTATTATGGTAAATTTCAATGTGTTTACAATGCAATTTTAGTGCATGGACATTGTGCTATTGTTTAGATACCTCTTTACATTCCCTTACTATCTTCCCCCTCGTCCTCCCCTTGTAACACTACTCCTAAACACCATAAACTTGTAAGACATAGGAGAGGCCTAAGGGGCTCCGCCATATAATTGATTCTAAACAGGGCTCTGTGAGTCAAAAAGGTTGGGAACCATTGCCATAGGTGACACCCACCTCATGTTCTCATTTCTCTCATGTTTGGGATTGTTCTCTTTTGCCAACACCTGCCTCTTTTTTCAGACTGGAGAAGTCCAGCCAAGTCCGCACCGTTTCCAGCAGCAACTTGTTTTTCAAAGGGAGTCGGTTCCGATACAGGTAAATAAGGGCTGCAAGTGGCCGTTCCTGGGTATGTTATTGGACCCAGCCACAGGATGGCTTGAAGGGCAAGGTTGTGTTAGGGTAGCTTTGCAGATGACTTGAGAGAGATTTCTGTTCTTCTCGGTCAAATAACCTTCGACTTAAAACCATCCAAACACACAGCCCTCAATGGCTCTGCTCAAGCCTTGCAAATGCAGGGCAGCCACAGCATTCATGCTTCGAGTCTCTCTCCATGTACCTCTGTCACCCTTTTTTTCCTACTGCTTTCCGCTTTACAGAACATTAAAAAAAATCCACATATTTATTCTGCTTTATTTAAACCTTTGCAAAGATCAAACACTTCAGCATCAAACCGTATTTCAAGATACAAGGAGCAGAGCCGCCGTAATACTGTTTTCTAGGAACATCATTCCAGAGTCACGTCTTCAGCCCCTTCTACACTGCCATATCATCTACATTATCAAATCATATAACCTACATTATCTGATTTGAACTGGATTATATGAGTCTACACTGCCATAATCCAGTTCAATGCAAACTGTCTGGATTTTATCTGGCAGTGTAAAAGGGTCCTCCTTTCGATGAGCTCAGAGTGCAGTATCTTCAATTTGGTCCTTTCAGCTCCTAGGGAGAATTCAGGCTCTATTTCCTCCTTAATCCATTGATTTCAAGACTAGGTTATTAAAAATTGACCTATTATTTCACAGGCATTCAAAGTACAAGTGTTTTATCTAAGAGATATTAAGATAGCAGTAAGACGGAGTGAGGATGGTGGATGCATGACATGTTGTTTACAAAGGCCTGTTCTGTCCTCGTCACCTTTTTTGTTTACTCACTTTCAGTGGCCGGGTTGCAAAGGAGGTGATGGAATCGAGTGCCAAGATCAAGAGGGAGCCTCCAGAGATACACAGGTGAGGCTCCAGAGACATAGAAGGGAGGACAGCATTCTGGGGTCTATAGATTGAGGGGTCTTGCTGGTGTGCTTGGGCCATCATCCGGCCTTGGTCTGTCACAGAGGGGTCTCCAAAGCCAGCGCCTGTGCTTCCTTCTCTTTTTCAGGGCGGGACTGGTTCCCAGCCGCAGCTGCCCGTCCATCACCCACGGCCCACGGCTCACCAGCATCCCCAGGACCCGGAGGAGAGCAGTGCACATCTCCATCATGGAAGGTGAGGCCATTTCACAGCTCTCTATGGCCACATTCTAACTCTGTGCTGCACGCTCACTGTCTAATGACCTCATCAGACAGTTTTCTCTGCATCTTCTTCCCGTTGCTCTATGCTGCCAAAATGGACTTTATCACATGACACACAACAATGTCCAGCAGGACTCTGTGGGCCTCCGTTTCGGCAGCGTAGAGAAACAGAGCCCAGAGTGTCTTTTGACTCCAAATGGCACAAAGTGGAAGACTGATGGATGAAACTCTATGAGGAAAAGGATGTGGGATGGCATAAGACGGACCTTCAAATGAAACAACAATGTATGTGCGAACTTAAAAGACATATAACATAGGATCTAATTTCTACGACTCTAAGAGTTAGTTACTTAAAGCTGTATTACCATGATGAAAATACTTCAAAAATTACAATAGTACAAGTCTAATTATTCTATACAATTCAACAAAGCATATTCTATTCACGGAGTAAGTAACAGACATAAAGTAAAGCATATAGAAACAACCAAGTCCTAATAAGTCCTGGAGCTGTGAAAGATCTCGAGTCCAATAGGAGTAGTAGTCAAAAAATCCGCTTCCAATATAACGACTTCTAAGTTGATTCTCCCGCTGATAGCCCCAACTTCTGCCAGCCTAGCTGTTTGAAAACATGCAAATGTGAGTAGATCAATAGGTACCGCTTCTGCGGAAAGGTAAGGGCGCTTCATGCAGTCATGGCAGGCACATGACCTTGGAGGTGTCTACAGACAATGCTGGCTCTCTGGCTTAGAAATGGAGATGAGCATCACCCCCCAGTGTTGCACACGACTAGACTTAATGTCAAGGGAAAATCTTTACCTTATCTAACTGGAGTCTTGTGTCCTCCTCCTCCTCCTCCTCCTTCAGGTCTGGAGTCCTTGCGGGACAGCGCCCACTCCACACCGGTGCGCTCCGCCTCCCACGGCGATGCCTTCCTGCCGCATTCACGAACCTTCCGGGCCGAGAGCAGCGAGCGGGTGACCATCATTTCGGATGAGATCTACAGCCCCTCGGACAGCGTGCTCCCAACGCCGGTGGCGGAGCACAGCCTGGAGCTGATGCTGCTCTCGCGGCAAATCAATGGGGCACCGTGCAGCATCGAGGAGGAGAAGGAGTCCGAGGCCGGCACCCCCACACTGGCAGCGGCGGAAGGAGAGGAGCGCGGAGGGGAGCTGCGCGCCTTGTGCCCTGGCGCAGGCCGCCGCGGCAGAGCGCAGCAGCAGGCAGAACAGGTGAATACGTTTGTTTTAAGTGTCCTCCGTTTGCTCCTTGCGACCGTCGGGCTCCTCTTTGTTTTGCTCCTCCTCCTGATCATCCTAACCGAGTCTGACCTTGACATTGCCTTTTTCCGTGATATTCGCCAGACCCCCGAGTTTGAACAGTTCCATTATCAATACTTTTGTCCCCTCAGGCGATGGTTTGCCTGCAAAATCCGCTCCGTGTTCAGCCTGCTCATTGACACCTGAAGGCAGGACTCCTCCTCCTCCTCCTAGTAACTAGCCAGGTGGATTGTGAAGACCCCTGCTACCCGCCCCCAGAAAGTTACGGGACACACCGCGGCACCATCGGCACATAACTATAAGTCCTTCTCCTCCTCTTCCTCCTCCTTTCATGAATCCAAGTACACTGCAACCTAGGGGAGTTGTTTCCGAGCGGAAGAAAGGGAGATCCGACTTATGCCAGATTCAAACACTCACCCCATTTCTTTCAAGGCCCTCTTTCCTGGAACATTTCTGCAACAGGTCCGCTTCCCAACTCTTTTAACTTTATTCTGCACTCTTCACGTTTCCTTTTAGCCTTCACTTCAAGGACTTCAAGTAAAGAGAGTTTATTTTGTTACTTCGATCACTGCATTAAATGCCAGCCTCCATCCGGGACACTAGTTCAAGAAGAGAGCGATGACTTTATGCAGGAGCTTTTGTGTAATGGTGCTACCGAGTTGTACTTTTAATATGACGGTATTATTACCATTATTATTTTTTATTATTTTGTTGAAACTGCCACTACTGTGCACAGCACGACCACCTTAAATGCAGTCACTTGGAAAGAGGGCGATTTCCTAACTCACTCCCATCCACTTCTGGTTTAAATGTGGAAGATATGAGGGTGATCCAAAAAGTAAGGTTACAAGGGTTTTTTTAAAATACAAAGAAAGAATATATTTTAATAGAACTTACATGGATTGTAGCATTGGGATTACACTATTTTTCCACATAATCACCATTCAGTTCAATACATTTTGTCATCCGTGGGACAAGTTTTTGATGCCCGTGTCATACAAGTTTCCCGCCACCTTTTTCAGCCAGTTCGTCACTTTGATTTTCACCTCGTCGCCGGAAACGTTTTTTCCACCCAGGTGTTCCTTCAATTTAGTGAACAGATAATAGTCACTGGGTGCAAGATTGGGGCTGTGAGAGGCGTGGCTTAAAACATCCCAACCAAATGAAGTGAACCACTCTTGAGTTGCATGAGTGGTGTTCGGTCATGCATTGTCATGAAGGAAAGATTCCCACCATCGGCATCCCATGTTTGTTTTGGATGGCTCTGCCAAGTTTCTTCATGGTCTCACAATATATTCCACACCCATTTTGTCTTGACATGATGTCCTCTCCATAAACGGAAACAATTTCGCAATGAATTGCAGCGGCGCTCATATCCTTCGCATTTAGGGAGTGTATTCCAGCGCAAACTTTGCATTTGGAGGGAAACAGAATGAGGACGCTCATCTCAAATCTTCACAACACCAGTTGATGAACTACTAACAACTGGCACTGCTTGTTCACTACCGCTGGCTTCCCACTACACAGCAGTGATTCCCCTGTGAAAGTCTTGTAACCTTACTTTCTGGATAACCCTCGTAAGTGGAGAGAAGAGGGAAGAAACAAGGTTCGGACAAGGAGGAATGGCCACCATTTCCATTTGTTTTTAAGCAATAGGCAAGAAAGAGACGAGGTTTAAACCTCTTTCCCCCAATTCCACCTCCTTCCCTTCCTTTTATTTTTATTTTGGGAATTTCAGCTTCTCACCTGTAAGATTCCAGGACTTTCCTTTAGTTCAACTCCCCAAATAAGCAGCCATTAATTAGCACACAGGCAGAGTAAATAAATACCTGTCACAGATTCTCTCTCTGGCCAAGCCTTGCTATCTATCTATTGTAGTTGTGACCATCTGGATTTCTTTTGAAAGACATTGTTTTGCTTCAGAAAGCTATAATTGTTTTTTCTACGACAAAATTTCAACCTCTATTTTAAGAACAAAAATGCTATTTTGTTAATTTTTTTTTTTACTTTACGACTGACAACATGTGTATATAGGGTGTGTGGTGTACAAAGCGATGGGCAAACAAAAGATGTGCGATTTTTGATTTTTTAAGAATGGCCTTTTGGGCATCATGTACTAACCCACCTGTAGATAAGATTCAGGAAGGGAAGAAAACGGTTCTCCCGTGCCGCTTCTGCTGATCCCAGGAAGGAGCGAAAGGATTGCAAAGCAGAAGTGACGACTGGGAAACCAGAGAACCTGGCAATGCAATCTGACCGACGCTGTCTCCAAACGAAAGGGAATTCAGAAAAAAATATCTTGTGATGTGAATTATATTATTATTTATATCCAAGAGCAGCTCATTTGTAAAAAAAAAAAAAGGGAGCAATAAAATAAAAGAGGGTTCACAGGCCGGGCAAGAGCGTGAAGCCAGGCTTTGGCCAGTGTTATATTTCATCTCAGGGAAGAGATTATTCCAGGCCATCATCTGGGAATCGGATCAGAAAAATATTTATTTCTTCGGGGAAGGCTGGCTTCACACTCCTGTCCCCGTGCTTGCACGCTTAGCTGCAGTCGTGTTCACGCAGAAATGAAGCACTGCCAGAACACGGGTGTGAAAAAGAGCGACGCGCGAGGGGGCCCCCAAGCACTGACCACCTCCTCCCCAGGTCCGGTCATTCTGCCCACTGGGGGGGAAACGAGCACAATAACCAATACGAGCAATACAGTGGAGCGTCGGCAAGGACTCAGACTGCAGTGTATGTATGTATGTACGCACACATACCTACATACACACACACACACACACGTGTGTTCCCTTAGGATCCTGTGACATTTGCACACCTGCTGGGAGAGCATTAACTTGCAACTGCCAGAAACAGCAAACCATTATCGTCAATAAGTCAAAAAGAGATATTTTGGCTTTCACGTTAACTTTTTTACACAGGTATTGTCAAAGGCTTTCACGGCCAGAATCACTGGGGTGTTGCTGTGTGGTTTCCAGGCAATGGCCAAAGTGTTCAAGCAGCATTTTCTCCTGGCGCTTCACCTCCACCTGTGGCTGGCATCTTCAGAGCATCTTATGGTATAAAGCAAGGATATATATACTTGTGGAATGCCCAGGGTGGGAGAAAGGGCTATTGTCTATTAAGCAAGTGTAAAGGGTGCCATTAGCAAGCTTGATTTGCAAGTGTTCGAGTGGAACTCACCCATTAGCATGTGAATAACCATAATCAATAGCAGGCAATTAGTAAAGGCATCTGCCTTCTCAACCTGAGGGTTGGGACCCCTGGAGGGGTCGTAATGGGGGTGTCAGAAGGCTCACCAAAGATCACAGTATTTTCTGTTGGTCATGGGAGTTCTGTGTGGGAAGTTTGGCCCAATTCTGTTGTTGATGGGGTTCAGAATGCTCTTTGATTCTAGGTGAACTATAGATCCCAGTTACTACAACTCCCAAATGACAAGGTTTATTTTCCCCAAACACCACCGGTGTTCACATATTGAGTATTCCTGCCAAGTTTGGTCCAGACCATGATTGTTGGAGTCCACAGTGCTCCCTGGATGTAGGTGAACTACAACTCCAAAACTCAAGGTCAATGCCCACCAAGCCCTTCCAGTATTTTCTGTTGGTCATGGGAGTTTTGCGTGCCAAGTTTGGTTCAATTCCATGGTTGGTGGAGTTCAGAATGCTCTTTGATTGTAAATGAACTATAAAATCCCAGAAACTACGACTCCCATATGACAAAATACATCCCCTCCAACCCTACCAGTATTCAAATTTGGGCATTTGTGCCAAATTTGGTCCAGTGAGTGCAAATATATTCTGCATATCAGATATTTACATTACAATTCCTAACAGTAGCAAAATTAGTTATGAAGTAGGAATGAAAATAATGTTACGTTTGGGAGTCACCACAACATGAGGAACTGTATTAAGGGTCGCAGCATTAGGAAGGTTGAGAAACACTGGCCTAAAAGTAGCCTGGCCTTCATTCCGTTTGAATTGTTTGCATCCTGGAGACATCCTTAGCCTGGGTGGTGTTCACTTGCCCTTGATTGCTTCCTGCCTGGAGGCCTCCTGAGCCTGGGTGGTGTTCAATAGTCACTGTCCCGATTTGGGTGTGTTTTTCAATACAGGTAGCTACATTTTGTTCATTTCCATGGTTTCTTTCTTGTTGAAATGATCAAGCAGTTGTGGATTTCAATGACTTCTCTGTCATCTGACATGGTAGTTGACAGAGTGGTCCAGAATTTCCATATTCTCAAATAAAACTCTATGCCCACCTTGGTTTATTAGCAGTAGCAGAGAAGAGCCCCCAGTGGCGCAATGAGTTAAACCCTTGTGCCAGCAGGACTGCTGACCAAAAGGTCAGCAGTTCAAATCCAGCCAGGGAGTGGGGTGAGCCCCCATTGGTCAGCTCCAGCTTCTCATATGGAGACATGAGAAGCCTCCCCACAGGATGGTAAAATATCCAGCCATCCCCTGGACAATGTCCTTGCAGACGGCCAATTCTCTCACACCAGAAGCAACTTGCAGTTCCTCAATAGCAGAACACACAATAAACCAAACTGGGCACAGAATATCTAGCTAGCTAATGGCACCCCTTTACATATGTTGAACTGATAATGGCTCTTTCTTTCTCCCACCCTGGAAATTATTCCAGTTTTATTATATACTCCACTTGTTTGACATCATAAACAATAACCATTTATTTATATTCTGTTCTATCTCCCCGAGGGGACTCGGAGCGGATTACAACATACACAGATAGGCAAACATTCAATGCCTTTAATGCAGTGGAATAACAATGACACACAAAATAAACAAGGCCCCAGTGGCACAATGGGATAAACCCTTTTGCCAGCAGGACTGAAGATCGACAGGTTGGAGGTTCAAATCCAGGAACAGCGTAGATGAGTTCCCTCTGTCAGCTCCAGATCCCCATGTGGGGACCAGACAGAAGCCTCCCTCCCAAAAGGATAGTAAAACATCAAACATCCGCGTGTCCCCTGGGCAATGTCCTTGAAGATGGCCAATTCTCTCACACCAGAAACGACTTGCAGTTACTCAAGTTGCACCTGACACAAAAACCAAACCAAACAAAATAAGCTACCATCAGATCCTCTGAAGATGCCAGCCACAGATGCAGGTAAAACGTCAGGAGAAAATGCTGCAAGAAAACATCGGCCACACAGCCTAGAAACCACAACACCGCCTCAGTTTTATACAGGTACATTAACACTTCTGCCCGGAGAGGAAAGGATGGCTTCTATAAGGACATACACTGTTTTATGCAACACGGCAACCAAGTGAAACTTCTAGTGTAGTGTTCCTACCTCAGTCTGTAGTAAACGATGCTTCTATGCAGCGAGTGAAAAAGTCTTAATTTGATATCCTCCATTCTCCAGACAACGATGCAGTAAGTACGTCATGTTTTAATTGTGGGTGTTGTTGTTGACGACCGTCATATGCCTCGAACCTACCTGTCCCCCATCCTATTTGTAACCATTTTGTACAACGGACACCTTCCTTTTGAAAACGAGCACCGTATCAATGCTACCGAAGGCGGCCAACCAGTTCTAGACTGCGGTTGACTCGTAAGACCCTCCTCTCCTTTTGCCAAATAGCTTTTTTTCCTGACCAGCCAGCAACTGATAAAAAGTAGGTCTGTGTTTCACCCCTAATTTTGCCCCCATGTCGTTTTTGTCATGTCTCACGACGGAGTCGTCCCGGGTCTTATTTGTACAAACTGTGGTGATTTCCATAGGTTGCTGTAATCAGAGGAAACAAAAAATTGTAACGAGGACTAGTGTGTACTGCACCTTTTTACGCAGTAGAAAGGTAAAATAAAATTACCTGGAAAAAAATGTGAATTTTAGGTTTCTTAATAATATAGGTGTTAACCTTCCATGTGCCAAATGCTGTATGTTACATTTCCCCTTCTTTCCCCCCTCTCCCTTCAAAATGATGTACCCTTTTCTACATATCCAACCTGTAGTTAGTGTCAAATCATTGGTGCCATATTAAAAAAAGTATTTTTAAATTTAAATAAATATTTAATTACAATGAAAAAACAACACGTGCCTCGTTGAGTAAATTGAGGGGGGAAATGGGTCAGTCACAGGCCTGGGCAAACCAGGTGTTTTGGACTTCAACTCCCAGCATTATGAACAACCTCAGGCCCCACAGGCGGCGAAAATACTAACTATGAATATATAAATATGAAACCCTATATAATTATATATTTATAATATATAAATTATAAATATATAATTATATATTTATAATATATAAATGGCGTTATATATTTATAATATATAAGTGGCGTCCCCTGCCACGCGTTGCTGTGGCCCACATGGGGGTTCTGTGTGGGAGGTTTGGTCCATTTCTATCGTTGATGGAGTTCAGAATGCTCTGTGATTATAGGTGAACTATAAATCCCAGCAACTACAATTCCCAAATGTCAAGGTTCTATTTTCCCCAAACTCCACCAGTGTTCACATTTGGGCATATTTGGGCATTCGTGTAGAGTTTGGTCCAGATCCATCATTGCTTGAGTCCACAGTGATCTCTGGATGTAAGTGAACTACAACTCCAAAACCAAAGGACACTGCCCACCAAACCTTTCCAGTATTTTCTGTTGGTCATGGGAGAACTGTGTGCCTGGTAGTCTGGTTCTATTCCATCATTGGTGGGGTTCAGAATGCTCTTTGATTGTATGTGAACTATAAATCCCAGCAACTACAACTCCCAAATGACAAAATCAATTTTTTTTGAGTGAAGGACATACATTGGGTTGTTAGGTGTCTTGTGTCCAAATTTGGTGTCAATTCGTCCAGTGGTTTTTGAGTTTTGTTAATCCCACAAACAAACATTACATTATTATTAATATAGATCAATATGAAACATTGCATGAGGTGAAAATCTCACCTGAAATCATGCAGTTGGCCACATAAATGAAGATTTAATACTTCCAATAGTGTGTCCGTACCTTGCTCAGCTTCCACAACAGACCAGAACTGATGCCTTCTAGTTTGTGAGGCTATGAGCAGGCAGAACCTGGAGGGCCTTTTGGATACAGGGGAAGACCACATGGCCTCCTCCAGAATGGTCCCTGCCTGAGGCATCAACACCCAAACCTTCAGTTCAGCCCTTATGGTCTGCTAGGAAATGCTTGCCAATAAATGTTAATGGCAGAAACTGCCCAAATTGTAGGATGTCTCCCTGGGGCAAAGGAAAAGGGGAGGGAGCAAGTAGGGAAAGGCTTAACTCCCCATTAGGAACCTGCCTCCTACCTCATGCTGAAGCAAAAAGCACAGCAGGGTGCGAAGCAGCCTCAAATAGTTGCAGCTCCATCCCTGTCAACTATCCCCACCAAGTCTGGTCTCCATGAGGACCTTCACGTGACACCCCCCACCCCCCCAATGCCTTAGGCTTTACCTGCCAGTTATGGGTGGGCCAACTTGGTTGTTTCCACTATATCAGCTATTGCTGCAAATAATGAGTGAATAAATTGTCAAAGTTTGCTTGAGATAGTGCTTGCAATTCTGGAGGGACTCAATGTTTTGCTTCACATAGACTTAGTATAAGGATCTGGTTACAGCCCTGCCTGGAGGGCCAAAGTTTGCCCAGGCTTAGTCTCTCATCATGGGAATGGGGTTTAAAAACACAGGAAAAGCTAGCTTTTTATAGCAGAATTTTTTTTATTTCAAACTCTTTCAAGAAACTGAAGCATAGGGAAATAAAATCTTTAAAAAACACCCTTCACCGTCAAGTCATAACAATCTGATCTGTATTATTATTTTTTGTAGCGTTAATGAACTTAGGCTGCTTTCATACCAAGCGTTTGCTGTGTGTGCTTTGAAAGAGAACACTGATCCGAAACATTTGTTCCACAACTTTTTCAAGAAAAGGACAACACTGATGTGAAATGCCCCAAAGCCTTCCCAGCCCAAAAGAAATGGCTGCAATTCTCCCATCTTGCCACTCAAAGGCATTTAGAATTAATATGCTTTCTAATGCTCAAGTAAGTCAGCATTAAATAAGCCCACACCTTATATCTGCTCCTGAATAACAAAGCAATGTCTGCATTTAGAATTAATATGCTTTCTAATGCTCAAGTAAATCAGCATTAAATAAGCCCACACCTTATATCTGCTCCTGAATCACAACAAAACACTGTCCTCATCTCATAATACTGGCATTTGCATGCTGATTAATCACTGTTTTCTTGTCTGAGGCTGCAAAAATCAAAACCTGGTTTTCAAACAAACTATATTCCAGTGCCAATTGCACAAGTACCTTGAAAAAGGCCTTCAAAAACACATTCCTTCGGTGTTTTAAAATTACCCCATTTTGTCAGCGAGGCCCTGCCTTGTTCAAAGGCCAAACTCGTGAAGCCAGGGTCTGTTCTGGGTTTTTAAGGCTCCGGATGGCAATAAAAAGCTCCAAACAATGAAGAAACAATACATGGAAAGGCACACCGTTGCATTTGTGGTAGGTCCAGTTAGGCAATTAGACATAAGAAGCCAAGATTCCCCTCTGGCCACCTTTTATCTCAAGTGCAGGCCACATTCCTGCAACTACGAATCCATACCAGGCATGTGCAAACTTCAGCCCTCCCTCCAGGTGTTTTGGACTTCAACGCCCACAATTCCTAACAACCTACCAGCGGTTACACCTGGAGGGAGGGCCAAAGCTTGGTCAGGCCTGATCTATACCATGCCAAGGTCTGACGTAACTTCACACATACACCTGAGAGAAATGCCAAGCCTTAACAAAAACTTAAAAAGCCAGCCGGACTCTTCTGGGTTTCGGTGTAAGAGCCAAGACTCTTGTCGCTCCGTCACTCCTTGAAAACATGGAGGCGGCCACTGGAGTTGCCACCGGCCAAGATGTACCTGCTTGGGTGCCAGGCGTTGATGGAGCAGACGGAGCCCAGGTAGTCTTCGCTGAGGAAGGCCTGCAGCCTCTCTCCGCTGGCGCTGAAGGCCTCTATCTGTCTCGGGCGGGACATGCTCCCCACCACAAAGCAGTCGTCTCTTTTGGGGTCCCAGACGGCACGGAATCGGGTGAGCCATCGTCCCGTGTTGTTGTTGTGCCTGCCCAGAAAAGGGATGAGAACAACGCGGCATTTTGCTCATTAATTCCGTCATATTTAGATTACTATTATTATTCAAATATTCATATTACTAGCTTGGGTACCTGGCAATGCCCGGGTTATCTGAAAAAGCAATTTTTTAACCGTACAAAATGCATAAGGTTCTGGGTGAACTACAACTCACATCATGCCAGGTTAACCCGCTGAAAAACTCCATCAGTACTTAAGTTTGTTATGTTGGACAAGTTTGCTTTGCATGCATCATCAGTGGGGTTCAGCGTGTTCTTTGGCTGTATGGTAAACTACAACTCTCCCTATGGTGAGTCAGTCACCTCACACTCTTCCAGTAGATTGAGTCAGTCATGGGATTCTGTCTGCCAAGTCTGGTCCAGATCAATCATCGGTGGAGGTTAGTTTCTCTGATTGTGGGTGAACTACAACTCCAAAAAGGAAGGTCAGTTCCCCCCAAACCCCTCCGATAATCAGCATATCAGGTAAGTGTGCCAAGCTTGGTCCAGATACATTGGTGTTGGGTTTACAGTGCTCTCTGGATGCAGGTGAACTACAACTTCCCCAGATCAAGGGGAATTTTCCCCAAAGACGTCCAGTATTTTTTCTTGGTCATGAGGGTTCTGTGTGCCAAGTTAATTCCAGGTCCATTGACAGTGGAGTTCAGAGTGCTCTTAGATTGCAGGTGAACTGTACATCCCAGGATCTACAAATCCTATAAATCATGGTGAATTCTCCCAAACCTCCCTAGTAGGTTCAGTCCCTGATCAATTCCTCTGTTTGCCGTGTGCCATAGAAAAGAATAGGAAAAGGTAAAGGGAGACGCAGTGGGCAGGGTCATGCAAATTCCACTGGAATTTCAATGGAGAGTCAGAAACACTGGGATGTCTGTGGTGGAGGAAACACATCAAATCTAGGATGGAACTGTCCCTGTATGAAAGCCTTCCTTCCCTTGGGTGGTGAGCAGCATGGTGTTTGTGGAGAACATTGGCAGGGGTTAGGCTACATGTTCATGGTGCTCACTTTTACCCAATGCGTATGTTCCCAGCCCAAGAGGAGTGTTGCCTTTACTCACCTGATAGTTGTGAGAACAGGAGCCAAAGACGACAAACATTTGGTTCCAAAGATCCTGGAAGTACAAAAAAACCAAGAAAACAAAACTGAAAACATCCACACAGACAGATATCCTTGGTTTTGCAAGTGAATACAATAAAAAAAAAAAAACACTCTTATGAATCTGCTTCTTTCCTTGCATAATGACACTTCTCTTGCCAAGTGCTTATGCCCAGGATCATTCCCACACATTTAAAAACAAGGAGATCCTAAAGATCCTGCCAGATTCTGATGCTACTACTCTCTAAGCAAAGCAGCCCCTCCCCAACTTCCCACAGGAAAAATATGGGAAACCCCCAGTCTCCTCAGATTGCAAAAGTTGGGATTCCCAAGGGCCATCCAATCCAAACCCCTTCTTTCTGCCAGATAGCAAAAGCACAATCAAAGCACCCCTGACACATGGCTATCCACCCTGTTTAAAAGCCTCCAAAGACGCTGAATGTTTCTGCTGCTCCTCTCAGATCAGACCAGATTAATGAATGGAGATGAAAGTTTTAATTTATATATCATCTTGTGAAAATCTGGTCTGTATTATTGTATTTATTCAAATTTAACACTCACCTTTTTTTCTTTTCTTTTTTTTTTTGCTAAATCACCTTGCCAAAATTAGGATGCGCATTAGCCTTGCCTAATACGGTTAATTTAGTGCTGAACTAAAGTCAAAGGGGAAAATGCTTCAGGAGCACCTGGAGGTTTTATGAGAGATGTCATATGGAATTTAATGGCCATGGCTCAATGCTATATAATCCTTTAGTTTGGTGAGATATCAATACTCTCTGGCAGAGAAGGCTCAAACTACAGCCCCCATGAGTCCATAGCATTGAGCCAAGGTAGTTAAAGTGGATTCACTCGATTGCATAGATCAGGGGTCCACAAACTTTTTAAGCAGAGGGCCAGGTCACAGTCCCTCAAACTGTTGGAGGGCCGGATTATAATTTGAAAAATAAAACATGAATTCCTGTGCACGCTGCACATATCTTATTTGTAGTGTAAAAAACACTTAAAAACAATAAAATAATTAAAATGAGGAACAATGTTAACAAATATAAACTTATTGGTATTTCAATGGGAAATGTGGGCCTGCTTTTGGCTGATGAGATAGGATTGTTGTTGTTATGTGTTTTTAAGCCATTTCAGACTTAGGTTGACCCTGAGCGAGGGCCAGGTAAATGAGCTTGGAGGGCCGCATCCGGCCCCCGGGCCTTAGTTTGAGGACCCCTGGCATAGATGCACCCAAAAATTTTTTTTCCATTGCTGGAAGCTTTGGTGTCCTAACACTTTCTTATATAAAGAAGGAATTCTAAGGCCATGACTGTAATAGCCAAATGACAAAGTGTGCAATTTTTGCTGCCGCGTATTACATTCATCAGCAAATATTTTTTTTGTTTTTAGGGTTTTGAAAATTGAGGTGTGCATTAGATTTGATGGTGCATATAGTTGAGTTAATATAGGTTGAGTTAATATAGGTAATCAATACAGACAAGAAGTCTATTCTGGTTGTGTTCTGCAAGTTGCTTCTGGTGTGAGAGAATCAGCCATCTACAAAGACATTGACCAGGGAACACCCAGATGTGTTATGATCCTGTGGGGAGCTTCTCTCATGTCTTACTGCCTATTACAGGGAAAGCCAGCTGATTCCTAATCCATCTAAAATGCAGACGTGTGCTTTTCACCTTAAGATCAGACAAGCATCTCAAGATCTGAGGATATCTTGGGAAGGAATCCCACTGGAGCATTGCAGCACAATCAAATACCTAGGAGTCGCTCTGACTTATAAGAAACACTGCTTGACTATCAAGCAAGAAGTGGGTGCTAGAAATAATATCATGCAAAAGCTGACCAGCACAACCTGGGGATCACAACCAAACACAGTGACGACATCTGCACTGAACAGGCTGAGCTCTGGCACCATGAGATGCAGAGCTAACACAAGGTGGAGTCCACGACATGCAAGTGTGGAGAAGAGCAAACCACAGACTACCTATTACAATGCCCTACCACATGCACAATGGAGGACCTTCTTATAGCAACACCAGAGGCCAGCCACTGGTCAAAGTGGCCAGCCACTGGTCAAAGGACATTTAGTATAATGCCAAGTTTTTGAGTTTGTTTTATTTTTTAACTCTGCTGCTGAGCATGCATGCCCAGTGTGGAACACATCTCACCACGCTAAACAGTGGATGTGGCTCTTAATGAGGCGTGCCACATTATCACGGGGTGTCTGCACCCTACACCACTGGAGAAATTACACTGTTTAGCCGGTATTGCACCACCTGACATCTGCCGGGAAGTAGCAGCCAATAGTGAAAGGACCAAGGCAGTGACATCTCCGGCCCACCTCGTTTGGGTATCAGCCAGCACGCCAACGACTTAAATCAAGAAATAGTTTTCTAAGATCTACAAAGACACTTGCTGGAACACCCCAGCAAGCGAGAGTCCAAAAGTGGCATGCTCAAACCCAGAAGCTCAATCAATGGCTGATATCAAATGAGAGACTCCCCCTGGGCCCAAAGAAAACTGGGCAACTTGGAAGTCGCTGAATAGACTGCGCTCTGGCACCACAAGATGCAGAGCCAATCTTAAGAAATGGGGCTACAAAGTGGAATCCAAGACATGCGAGTGTGGAGAAGAACAAACCACTGACCACCTGCTGCAATGCAACCTGAGCCCTGCTACATGCAGCAACACCAGAGGCACTCCAAGTGGCCAGCTACTGGTCGAAGGACATTTAATAGAATACCAAGTCTGCAATTTTTGTGCTTTGCTTGTTTGTTTGTCTGTTTTTGTGTTTTTAAATGCATTACAACTGTACGCTCAATTTGCTTCTGACACGATAAATAGATATCAAGACAGACTAAGGCATCTTTTGGGTAGACGAGAGAAAGAAGTCAGACTCCCTCCTACCTCAATGCAAAAAAATCAAGAGGTCATCCTTCACCCAGATCCTGGTGGATCGAGACCATACTATCGGAAAGAGTTTGCCAAAATCTGTAGCTAAAGCCAATTTCCACCGACAGTCGGTTTTACATCTTGTAGCAACAAACGCTGGTAGTCCTTTTTTGTGTCAGGAAAGGAAGGCACCAACCTCAGTGTATCATCAGCACAAGTGGTCAGCACTCTGTTTCCGGTCACAGGAGAGAAATAAGCCGAAGCCACGCTCTTGGTGTGCCCTGCCAGAGACACCACAGGCTTGCTCCCCAAAGTCTTCAGGTGCCGAACGTCATAAATGCCAACATTCCTGCAAAGTAAAGGCAAACATTGGTTATGCCAAGCGTGTTCCCTTTCATCGCAACTACTGAAGACACTTCTGGAGTATTTCTTTGAACTAAACTCTGGAATCAGGGCTTCCTCTCTCTCCTAATGGAAGTGAAACAGGGCAAGGCACTCCATTCCACTGTCAAATCATACACTTGGAAGGCATCGCAAGCTATTACAAGCAAGGAGGTTCAAGTCAAATCTTTTTTTCTTGTAATATGAACCCACTGATTCATGTTCAGTTTCCCAGAAAAGCAGAAAACAAGCTCATTCTGATCTTCTGCATGACATCCCTTCAACTAAATATTTAATGATTATATGAAATATAATAAAATCATATAAAATATTATATGGCTGTTTAACTAATATTATTGTTTTTAAATTATTGTGTATTTATGGTTTTATATTGTTGTTATACTGTGATTTGTGGCATCGAATTGTTGCCAGTGTTAGCCGCTATGAGTCCCTGCTTGGGGGTTGAGAAGGGCGGGGTAGAAATGTTGTAAATAAATAACTATGCAAAAATAAGACCAGGTCTAATAATAATCTTTGCTTCGAAAGATACATTACGACTTATTTTCAGGGAATGTCTTTTATTCCCATGTGCAACTATCTATAATTTATCAATGTACAAAAATCTACATTTATTCAAATACAGTCATGCCATCGCCTTCTGGAACATGTTCACAACTCTCCAAATTCATTATTTTAAGTATGAATGTATATAATATTATTTATTTATATTTAATTATATGTTATTATTCTTTTACAATTCAATATGTCTGTTGTGTGTTGCAACAGACATACTAAATGCGTCCGTCTGGCTAACGATCTTAATTGGTGCTTATCTTTGGGCATACTGAAAACATCCTAGAGCTTATTTTTCTGGGTAGGTCTTATTTTTTGGGGAAATCAAAACTTTATTACACTCTAAAGATCCAATTTAGCCAGTGTTAAAAGATGCACAACTGCAAACAATTAATAAACCGATGAAACTAATTAAACGCAGTGTGATGTGCAATACAAGATGCATACGAAGAAGGGTAAGAACACTGTAAACAGATACAAGGCAAGTGGGGTATTTAAGTACAACTTCTATGCCCTCTCTCAGGCCTCTTCCACACTGCCATATAATCCAGATTATTCCATCAGATAATCCACATTATTTGCTTTGAACTGGATTATATGCGTCTACACTGCCATATAACCCAGTTCAAAACAGATCACCTAGATTTTATATGGCAGTGTAGATGGCGGCTTCAGCGTTCTCGGTGAAAGATCATCACTCGGTCAGATACTGTTTTCTTTCTACTTTCTTTGTTTGGAGAAGTTACATTTGTGGAAGCCTGTCCATTCCTTAAGTGATGCGTTTTCCAGAACATGGCCATTTAGCTGGTGCATGTTTTGAAAATCGTTGTGACACGTCTTACTGCAGCTTTATCTTTTTTTTAAGCTGACATATATTTCTTAAGTGCTACCATTAGTTAATGCTGTGATTTCATTTTTACAACTGCACTTTAAACGTGGCCATTACAAGCTGCCTTGTAAGGCTCATGCTTCAACAGGCAGCCTATAAAATACAACTGCTAATAACAAGAAATAGAACAAGCACGTGAATTTTTTTCTCAAATGTGTAAAAATGACACTGTGTAACACAATTTTTCCTCCTAAGTTATAAATATCATTTCCTAGTTGGTTATATCATAATAACATGGAAAAACGTGTATTAAACAGCAAAAAAAAAAAAAGTCTTTGCGGGAGGGACATCATCCTGAAGCACATGTTACTATAGATAGGTTGCTGTGAGTTTTCCGGGCTATATGGCGTTGTTCCAGAAGGATTCTCTCCTGACATTTTGCCCACATCTATGGCAGGCATCCTCAGAGGTTGAGAGGTCTGTTGGAAAGTAGGCAAGCGAGATTTATATATCTGTGGAATGTCCAGGGTGAGAGAAAGAACTTCTTCTGTTTATTATTATTATCATTATCATTATTATTATTATATAACATAATTGTTGTTCCTGGGTTATAAATGTCATTTCCTAATTGCAGGAGGGACATCCTGCAGCACACTTTGTGATAGTTTTTCAATGAATATCTCATCATAGTCTTGCCCAATTCAACCTGGTTTGTGGCAGCCACAAAAACAGTGAAGTTTCTGGAGGATAAGAACTCCTTTCAAAGTAAGGAACGTACAATTAAATATGAAATAACACTTTCAAACCAGGAACAGAACATTTTTGCAAGTTTTGTTGCATAGTGTAATCCAGGGGTCCTCAAACTAAGGTCCGAGGGCTGAATACAGGTCATTAACTGGGCCCTTGCTCAAGGTCAACCTAAATCTGAAATGACTTGAAAGCACACAACAACAACAACAACCCTACCTCATCAGCCAAAGCAGGCCCACACTTTCCATTGAAATACTAATAAGTTTATATTTGTTAACATTATTCTTCATTTTAATTGTTTTTAAGTGTTTTTTGCACTACAAATAAGATATGTGCAGTATGCATAGGAATTCATTCATTTTTTTTCCAAATTATAATCCAGCCCTCCAATAGTTTGAGGGACTGTGACCTGGCCCTCTGTTTAAAAAGTTTGAGGACCCCTGGTGTAATCGATGCATCCAGAGGTCAACAAAGATGACCAAAGGCTTTTGAAGGACAACCTGTGGTTCACGAGTTTAGGAAAACTGGGTTTAGCACTTGGCAAAACAACTTTCAGATTAGGTTTCTACTAAGTTATGCAAAAACAGTAAGAAAAATGATTATGAAGATACAGGGAAGCCTGGCCTTGCCTTCCTGGGGCCCTAAAGGAAGCAACCTACCTGGCTCCAGCGCTAACGAAATAGTGCCTGTTGACCGGGTGGACGTGGACCGTCCTTGTCAGCGAATCAAAGTCCGCCGAGAGCTCCGAGGAACTTCCAGGCGTCCTGCGGTCCACCATGGCCACTTTCCCATCCCACATCCCCACCAACAAAGTGGAGGCGTCGCTGGCCAGGAAGTCAAACGAGGAGAGACTGTACTCCTCATTTCTGTACACCTGCGAAAGGAAAACAGGCTGAACTTAGGCCAGGTGTAACATAGAATTTGTTGGAAAGCAGTCCATAGGATGATGTGTTAAACTACCATGGTGTGTGCAAACTGATATGTTTACCATCAGGCATGGGCAAACTTTGGCCCTCCCTCGAGGTGTTTTGGACTTAAACTCCCACAATTCCTAACAGCCTACCGGCTGTTAGGAATTGTGGGAGTTGAAGTCCAAAACACCTCGAGGGAGGGCCAAAGTTTGCCCATGTCTGGATTACAGTCAAAGACAACTTTTTAAAGCTAAGAACTTGAAACAACCCATTAGCTCCACCTGGTCAAAGAGAATATAAAATTATCATAAAGCAATCAAATTATGGATGAGAAAAATATCTACGTAATGTGTGCCAGATCTGCCAGGATATGCAGCATTTGTCCACCTGCCTGGACAGAGGCGGGATGGTGAGTATCTATGTTGAATGTATGGATTGTGAGTGAATGTGATGTTTCCCCTCTCTGTGTATAAACCAATGAATATAGCTACTATAAAACCAATAGCTGCTGTCTGTGTGCCTACTTCTTTCTCTGAAAATATTCTGTCTCACTGAAAAAGCGGATCAAAGAATCATTTTGAAGGTTCAAAGAAAAATTATACCATAGCAAAGAGGGAACAAAGAGCCGATCAAAGTTCATCTCTCTCCAGCTGAGAGTCTGTCAAAGGTCAAAAACAGCAGGGAGCATCCTATCGCCCACCTAGACTAGTGATGAACCTTTTAGAGACCAAGTGCCCAACTGCACTCTCCACTGCCAGAGATACAGCTTAATGATGTAACATTAGAAAATGTTTATCATTTCCACTCCCTTGGCAGCCACCTTTCCACCAAAGTCAACATTAACACTGAAATACAACACCGCCTGAGTTCTGCGAGTGCAGCATTCTTCCGAATGAAGCAGAGAGTGTTTGAGGACCGGGACATCCGTAGGGAGACCAAGGTGCTTGTCTATAAAGCTATTGTCCTCCCAACCCTGCTATACGCCTGCGAAATGTGGACTATCTACAGACGACACCTGCAACTCCTGGAACAATTTCAGCAGTGCTGCCTCTGGAAAATCCTGCAAATCTCTTGGAAAGACAAGCGGACAAACGTCAGCATGCTGGAAGAAGCAAAGACCACCAGCATTGAAGCGATGGTCTTCTGCCATCAACTCCGCTGGACTGGCCACGTTGTCCGGATGCCCACCGTCTCCCAAAGTAGTTGCTCTACTCCAAACTCAAGAACAGAAACCAGAATGTTGGTGGGCAGGAAAACAGATTTAAAGGTGGGCTCAAAGCCAACCTTAAAAACTCTGGCATAGACACCAAGAACTGGGAAGCCCTGGCCCTTGAGTGCTCCAGCTGGAGGTCAGCTGTGACCAGCACTGCTGTAGAATTTGAAGAGGTACGAATGGAGGGCGAAAGAGAGAAATGTGCCAAGAGGAAGGCGCGTCAAGCCAACACCGACCGGGACCGCCTTCCACCTGGAAACCAATATCCTCACTGTGTGAGAACATGCAGATCAAGAATAGGGCTCCAAAGTCACCTACGGAGCCACCAGTACACTGATCTTGGAAGACTATCCTACTCAATGAGGGATCGCCTAAGTAAGTAAAAACCCAACTGCAGCCCAAAATCCCTGGGGTCGATTGGTGGCCTCCCACCCAGGTCCCTACCAGGGTTGACCCTGCTTAGCTTGCCAGATCTAGACTCTCAATGTGGCTCCACAGGTGAAACATGGCCTTTCCCATCTCCTGCAGCCTACTTCAAATCAAGAAGCCTGGAGATGTCAGGATATGAACCCAAGGATGCCAAATGCATCACCACGGTCCCTACTGCGCTGGGCACAGGCCCCCAATAATGGAGCGGAGGCACATTGACTCATAGAATCATAGCGTTGGAAGAGACTACATGGGCCATATAGTCCAACCCCCTTTTGCAATGATGGAAAAGCACAATCAAGACAGACACACACACCCTTGAAAGGTGGCCCTCTAGGCACTGTTTCAAAGCCTCCAAGGAAGGAGCTTCCACTGATCTCTGAGGCAGAGTGCTACAGCTCTTCTTACGGTCAGGAAGTTCTTCCTCATAAAGTTCAGGTGGAATCTCCTTTCCCACTATTTGAACCCATGGCTCCATTGAGTTCTAGTCTCCAGGGCAGCTGAAAACAAGCCTCTTCCTTATGGCATCCTTTCATATGTTTATACATGGCAATTATGTCTTCTCTCAACGTTCTCTTCTGCAGGCTTAACAGACCTAGCTCTTTAAGATGCTCCTCAGAGGGATTATTCATGGTCTCCAAACCTTTGACCATTTTAGTCACCCTTTTCAAAACACCTTGCAGCTTAGAGTCAATATGTTTTTAATTATGGGGCTCAGAATTGGACACAGTATTCCAGTTAAAGAGATCTGACCAAAGCTGAATAGAGAAACACCACAACTTCCCTCGATCTAGATACTAGATTCCTCCTAATGCAGCCCAAAATCCCATTGACTTTTTAAGTGGCTACATCACATTGTTTGGCTCATGTTCAACTTGTTTCCCACAAAGACTCCAAAGATCTTTTTCACAGGTACTCCCTCTTCGACTGGCCTACTGCCTACACCCTCTTACAATTTTTGACTTTACAGAGTGATACCATCCATCAGGCTTTGCAAAGGCCACAAGGTAGTCAATTCACCTCCTCAAAAGTTGCTCTGGTAACATCCCCACATCTTATGGTTCCATCATGGCTGAGGGAAAGAAGGTGAGCGGGATTGGATGGAGAGAAGTATATGCAGCCAACAGGCCTGCTGTGGGTGACAAAGGTATGGATTCCATCTTCTGAGCCGCAGTCCTGAAAGTGCAACACACATGTTTACAGTCATATTTCCCCCCCAAAATTTATTTATTTACTATTTTTATACCCCGCCCTCTCTCACTCCGAAGGGGACTCAGAGCAGCTTACAAGTAATATGTACCTACAATATATTATATTATTAGCATAGCACAATATTAATATTATTAGTATACTATTAGTATATTGTACTATACCACTATAATACAATATAAATAGTAATAATACATGTTATATATATATATATATATAGAGAGAGTATTAATAATATATTGTATTATTATTAGTATATTGTATTACATAATAATACTAATAATAAATAATAATAAACTTTATTTAATATCCCAATATCTCCTCAAAGGGGACTCGGGGCGGCTTACATGAAGCCAAGCCCAACAGCATATTACAATAAAGTAAAATCAAAACACAATAACAACACAGTAAAATACATACAACATATGAGTACAAAAACAATAAAGCAAAATCATACACAATAAAATAAAATAACATAACAATGAGCAGGCCGCATGTGCAAGATAAAAACTAAGATACTAAAAATACTAAAATCAGGATGAGATAGGGATGGAGCTTGTGGGGGAGAAACTCATAAAGGAACGGGGTCATAAATATAGACCTTCATATAGGTGGGGAAATATACTCTGGGGACAAAAACCATTGAGGGGGAGCAACTGTGTATAATAATATGGCTACTCTCCAAAAGCGCATCGGAAAAAGCAGGTTTTGAGATCCCTCTTGATCACTATTATAAGTACATACAATATATGATATTATTAACATAGCACAATATTAGTATTATATATTACTATATTGTACTATACTATAAAATAGATATCCTTCTCTGCCATAGGTAGGTAGGAGCAGGAAGCAAAGGGCTCATCCTCTCCCCACCCAAAGGCCAGAAGTTTTAAAAGGCCCTGTCCATGGATCAGCACAACTGTGGTGTTGATTTAGACTCAACACCACAGTTGTAATTCATATTTTCCAGTCAATTACTACCCCCACAAAGGCACACACCACTGCTAAAGCTGGCATGGTAATCTTTTTCTGTGCTGCCTCGTCCTTTTTCTTAAATCTACAATGATGAAAGGGGAGCGTATGTCACTGAGACGTCTTAAAATATTTACGTCTATTCCAATAGGAATAATTTCCATGTGTACAACCTTCAAGCATTTGGCTCTCAGGCCACTTATAAGGTA